CCAGGCCATCTGGCTCGAACGAACAGAGCTGAACGTCGTATTGGACTCCTGGCTAAGGTTGCTTGGCTGGGCCAGGTTCTAGAGGAGAGTCAGGGAAGGAAACAATGGAGTGGACCTACAGGGACAAACAGTAGCTTTGGCTTCTGTAACTGAGCTAACTCGTGGATTTCTGCACCACAACCAGAAGGGGTTTCACTGAAACATCGTGAAATCAAGAGAGGAAACATCGTGAAATCAAGGCCAAAGTCCTGCCCTGAAGGGCCACGAAAAAACAGCCTACTCTGTCTTCCATGCAAATGCATAAGATTTCCAGGCTGGAAAGACCCTAGAGGACAGGATCAGCATCATCATGGCTAATATTTTCCGAGAAATTAAGATAAGCCAGGCCCTTTGCATGAACTATCAACCCCTTGAGATAGGGCATAACAATTATCCTTATTTAACAGATACGTAAAAACGGGTTAAGTCAAAAGCATGCCTTTAGTCATATAGTTATTGTGGTAAATCAGTTACAAAAATGGTCCCATCTGTGTGCCCTTCCTGTATCCTCATCATTTTCAGCGCGACCTCACAGCTGCTCCATCAAGAGGTAGAATTTGAGCTGGTCCTGTGACTTGCTTTGGCCAGTAGAATGTGGCAGAAATGACAGTGTGTCAATTCTGAGCCTAGGCCTATGCTGCTTCTTGGCCTCCTGGTGCTTAACCACAGGCAGTGTGCTGACACCAACTGTATGGAAGGGGAGGCAGAATAAACCCCTCTATACACCTCAGCCCAGGCCCCTTGCCTGGTCTGCATTGTGACTGGGGGGACATGGAGTTGAGAAAAGAAAAATAAACAAACAAGTAAAGAAAGTGCTGCTTCTTCATTGATTAGAACCCTGTGCATGTGAAGGAGTCTAAGCTGTTTACTGGAAGATGAGAAACCTATGCCCAGTCACCCCGTGATCAACGGTCAACCACTGGAGGTGTGACTGAGGCCATCCTAGATGAGCCAGCCCTCAGCCAACTACCAGACATATGAAGGACACTCCTGGATCAGGCAGCCCCAGACAAGCCCCTTGCTAACACAGGTGCATAGGTGATTCCAGCCAAGATCAGCCACACCTGGGCCAGATCAGCAGCACCAACGCCGCTGACCCACAGACTTCTGAGCTAAATCATAGCTTAGGCTTTTAAGACACTTAAGTTTTGTTAAGTTTAAGACACTTAGGTTTGTTAGGCGACAACAGCTGCAGATGCGGAGAATCTGGGACTTGAACAGAGGACTATCTGACTTCAGCAGCCTTCAACAGCAGTGCATGTTTTCAAATCCTGTGCACACTGTAGCCTGGCTAGTGCAGTGCCTTCCCTCTGAGAAGCAGCATGAAAGTAAAGTCTACAGGTCACTTACAAAAGCATCACCAGCTGTTTGTCAAATGCAGATTCACCCCCTTATCCCAGACCCACTGAATTCGACTCTCCTGGGAGCAGGGTCTGAGATTCTACATTTTAAACCAAGTTCCCTGACCATTTTCATTGCACATTAACATTTTAGAATGCTAGACTGCTCTGCTAAGACTTTGAAACAGTAAAGTATTGCATTATCTCACTCTGGTATTGCTTTCTCCTTGGGTAGTTCCCTAGGTGTATTTGTATGATAAGATTTTAGGCCAAAAAAAGACACATTGGGCCCCAGCTGGTGTGGCTCAGTGGATTGAGCACCAACCTGCAAAACAAAGGGTCATGGTTCAATATCCAGTCAGGGCACAAACGTGGGTTGTGGGCAGGTCCCCAGTAGGGGGTGCGCAAGAGACACCCACACAAGAATGTTTCTCTCCCTCTCTTCCTCCCTCCCTTCCCCTCTGTCTAAAAGACACATTGGCCGTTTTTTCTCAGAAGTAGTGCTGACACAGTCGCTAATGTTTTTTGATGGAAATAGAGTACATACCAGTGAGTGAACTAACCCAGATGACACCATGATTTAAGCGTATCAACATGTTACTCCTTGAATAAATGCTGGAAAATTAGTTTTTGCTGATCCTATAGCCCCATGCATACATGGTCTTACGCTAGGTATGGAAATAGGGGAGGACTGGAGTAGGAAGGGCATTTACCAACAATATTCACTTGTCTTTACTGTTATTATCTGTAACATTATTTTCCCAAAGCAAGCACTAAGAGGAATAGGAAATGACTTGATCCTAACTTGACTTTGAGTTGGTTCAGTCTGAACTCGCTTTAGCAGGAATGTGTGTTCACCTCTGAAGCAGCCATTAGAATTGTGGGAATATTTCACCAGTGCTACATTCTCAAGTTCACCAAACTCTAGTTAAAAGTTTAAAGTGTCTTTTAGACTGATCTGTTTCATGGTATGATGTTTTACAGAAGACTTTTTCACCAAGAATAGAAAAAGGGAAAAATAATAACAAAAGAAAACTACTGCAGAAAGTGCTGTCAGAAGCCTGTGCCTCTTCAGATGACACTAGTGCTTAGAACTTTTGATTCAATGTTCTTTGTTTCCTACAGATATTTTTCCCCCTGTTCCAAAGGTGGAAGAGGCTCTGAATAACCAAAGTGCTGCACTTTTTAAAACCTGCTGGACAACTTCTCATTTCTAACAGTACTAAAGTTTTGCCATACCAGACTGTGCATGACAAACCACAAAACATATGCATAAAAGAATCTAGACTCTTCTAACTGTGCCAATCTGTGGGTAAAAACTTACTTCTGGAGCCACGCAGCTGTTGAAATCAGTCATATTTACAATTTTTACAAATGAGTTTATTTTAATAAAAACAATTTCTCTGTGAGCATGATCTCTAAACAGATTTATGTGGGCTGGCACAATCTGCTATGTGAAACATATATTCATATTGCTTTGTTCTGCAACCAGTTTTTTTTTTTTTTGAGGGTGAGTCTTGCTTTGTACAAGGATACCAAATAATTGGCAGCAATTCAGCTAAAGGACACTGTTCTCAGCACTGTGCTATCAAAATTGTTTTCCTGGACAGAATTGCCCTGCAGGCATGGCCCTAACTTGGGAGGACTCTGGGCTGCTGGCATTGGTTAGTGAACCAGACACTTACAGAGAGAAGGAGGTGACACTATAAATGGGTACTAAAGAAGAGGGTGAGGGGGACGATGGGTGGGAGAAAAGGAAGGAAGGGGGAAAAAAGAGGGAGAGGAAAGGGAGAGGGAGGAAGGGAGGGCAGGGAGTGGGGAGAGAAAGAGATGGGATTTGTATTCCTCAGTCCACATCCTTAAAGGGGTCTCTTTATGTATCTGTCCTTGATCTCTGGTTTATGTTTCCATATTCATGTTTGCTTGGTTACTAGACTGTAATCTCCTTGAAGACAGTAATGTTGCCTGACTCAGTTCTGCATCCCATATGCTGGTGCTCAAAAACCAGTTAGCCCTGGCTTGTGTAGCTCAGTGGATTGAGCGTGGGCTGGGAACCAGGGATCGCAGGTTCGATTCCCAGTCAGGGCACATGCCTGGGTTGCGGGCCATGGCCCCCAGCAACCACACACTGATGTTTCTCTCTCTCTCTCTCTCTCTCTCTCTCTCTCTTCCTTCCCTCTCTAAAAATAAATGGATAAAATCTTTAAAAAAAAACACTGTTACACACGTGAACAAAAGAATGAATTTCTGTATCTGCAGCATTCCTTTCCTCAGAGATGAGTCCTAAAGGGAGGTTCTCGGTGGGCACAGTACTGCCCCCTAGGAGGCATACTGAAATTCTTCGGGTGCAGTTTTGGGCCTCTAGTTCTCATATTAGTGTATTTATGTAAATAGTGAAAAATACTGTTTTGTTATTTTGTGTATTTCCTGTAGCAATTTAGACTCAATGACTTTCTCTTTTTTTTTTTCACCTTTATCGTACTAGAACATTGAGGTCTTGAAATTATTTGTGTAGATAGTTTACATTATCTGAATTTCATTTCAGGAGAGTAAAGCAATGTTAAATTTTTGCTGTAAATACAGTGTGTTGAGTATGGCAGAACTGAGTACCTCTGTTAATAAGATCATTAAGCTTTGCTTGCTTTTGCTTTCACAAATTTTAGGATTCTAAGATGAAACATACAAATAAAAAGAAGCTGGCATGCATTGATTTCAACAATCGGGGTTTCATTTTAAGTTACTGTATATTTTAGGATTGATGCGGCTCAGCGGAGCACCGCTGTCAAAGCCCTGAGGGTCCGTGACTGGGGTGCGGGTGGGGGATGAACGTCAAGGCACGTCCAGGCCCGTGCAGAATAGCTTGGAGGGTGATGGAGGGTGAGCGGTTTCTCTTTGCGTTGTACTTTTCACTTAAAAACTGATGTGGGGGTGGACGGGAAATGAGTGGGGAGGGGCGGTGACGCTGTCCGGTTTTCCCCAAAACCTGGGTCGTTAGCTGGCTCTCTCTGCGGGGCTGGTTTACAATGAAGCTGTCCGGATTTGAGGACCACAGCTTTCAAAGAAAGCCCTCCAGGAGTAACTCGTGAGCGGGGAAAGGAAGGCTTTCGGGGAGGAAAGGTTGCCTCAGTCTTGCGCGGCTGTCCGAAATGAGGTTGAACTGAACTTTTGGTGTCTGCGGGTAGAGTTGCGGCCAGAGGTGGAGGCGAGAAGAGGAGGGGCGTTGGTTGACAGGTGCTGGGGCCGCGGGCTAGATAGGTGCGGGCCTCGGGAAGGTGGGGCTTCTATTGATAAAGGGCGGGGCTTCCACTTAAAGGGGCGGGGTTTGGACAGAACTACCCCCTGGAAAGGGGCATATGATGAGAAAGGGCATTTCTCACGACCCGGCGGTGACAACAGAAGGGCAAAGCACTCAGGGAGCATGGCCACTCTGGCAGAAGGCGGCTGCCTTCCGGACAGACCTGTGTGAAGGCCTGGCTTTGGTTGACAGAGGGCGGAGCTATCGCCGGCAAGGGGCGGGACCACTTTGAGATCGGGAGAAGGAGTGGCTTCTGTTGACGGGGGCAGGGCTTCCGCAGACATGGGCGGGGCTTCTGTTGACAGAGGGGCGGGGCGGCTCCCTACCTCCAGCTCTACGCCAATCGGGGCGCAAAGGCCGGGGTCTAAGCCCAGGGGAGCAGCCGGGTCCTGGAGCTGAGAGCCGGGCGCAGAGCGGGGTGGGGGCGCGCTGAAGGCGCGCGCGCGGACGGGCCCTGCCTCGGCCGGCTCTTCTCCTCCTCCCACCCCCAGCACCCGCGCGCCTTGCCTCACCCCACCCCACTCCCCGGACCCTCCGCGGGGCCTGCCGAGCTCCGAGGCCGTGTGACAGCCCGCCGAGCGGTTCCGGGTGTAGGGTTCACAGGTCAGAGTTGACTCCCTGAAAAGTGCAGCAGCTTTGAAATGCAAGATGGCGGCGGCGGGGCGCTGAGAGGCGCGGCGGCCCTTGCAGGTAGCGGCCGGAGCCGGTTCCGGGACGAGCGGGCCGGGGCTCCCGGGGGCTGCGGGTAGGAACAGGCAGCGCAGAGCTCGTGGCCGGCGCGCGGACGGGACGGAGGAGGGGTGCCCCAGGACAGAGACCCTGGGGGGGCTGAGCGCGCTCGCGGCGGCGGGTCTTGGGGCGGACCTCGCGCTGGGCGTTCGAGGGGGAGGGACTGGGCCTGCCTGGGCCTCGCAGCGCCGCGGAGGGACAGACCCTGAGCCTCCTTGGCGCTTTTGGGGTTTCTATGGCCAGGGAAATAGCTGGGGAGTGGGGTGGGCTCTGTAAGGGAAAAATCTCAGCCCTCCTGCCTACGGGAGGATTGAGCAACTTGGGGTTATTGAGGGGAGTAAAGACTGGGTGGGTCTTCCGGGGGAAGTACGCCGCAGGGATGGAGGACCCCAGCAATGTGGTGGGTGCTGGGGGAGGTCTGGAGCCCTGCCTTGCAGGGGCGTGTGGCCTCGTGGGGATTTAGCCACCCTGAAAGTAAGCAGAGGGTCTCTCGCTGGAGCTGAGCGCACTGGCATTGGGGTTGGAGCCCCGAGAAACAATTCGGGGAAAGCTGTACTCCACTTTAGGAACGGCTGGTCACCCATTTCGGGGCCAGGCCGTGACCCCACTTGGGGGCAAGACTCAGAGTTGTGCCCCTAAGAACTGTATTACGTTTTGAGGAAGCCCTGGAACTTAGGGTGAAGTTAATTACAGAGAATGGAAATGTCGTCTGTCCCTTTACTCTGTCCCTTTTAGGAGGGAGACAGGAGGCTGACCGGGGACTACTCCAAATCTGGGGCCCGAAGGGAACAATCTCCTAATCCTTGCACGCAATGAAGGGCTGGGAAGGAGATGGGAGAGGAAGCGGGTCTGATGGCAGAAAAGAGCCCTGGGGGATGCCCCGTCCCTGTGTATATCCACCAAAGTTCTTAGTAAAGAGGCTTGAAATTCTTTGTTTCAAGATGACTTTCCCACCTCTCCTCTGTGGGTAACAGTGAGGAAATAGCAAAACCCCGAAAGAGGAACAATGCCCTTTGGTACCCTTAGGTTAGTGAAGGGTCGGGCTCTGGCAAGGCTTCAGTGAGACACTCGGTTGGGGGAATTAGGAATCGAAAGGGGATGGAGAGAGGAGGAATCCATGGAAGAGACGGGCAGAGCGGGAATTCCGCAGCGCTGTTCTGATATCTCACACCAGCTCTAAAGAAAACCACGAGACAAAAAGAAAACAACAACAACAACACCCCACAAAAGCAAAAAAGAAAACACAACAGAAAAAAAAAACAATGAATATCCTGAGAAGAGGCTAGTCTTTGCTGACTGGAGGAGGGAGGGAATGTAAAGGAAAGGCTAACTGGTACAGATATCATAATGTGATTAGGTTGGGAATTTCATGTAGTTTGGAAAGAAGCAGCAATTCTCTTGGAGGGGAAGAGGATGGCAGGAAAGGAAAAATCACAGGACTGGGAAATAGAATGGTTCCCTGGCAGGGGGGAAGCGGCAGCTTTCCCCCAGGAGCAGTGACTGTCGGTTTGAAGTATAGGTGCCTGCATGAATTCACCTTTACATTTGTTGGTATTGATCATTGTTTCTCAGTCTTTGTCTGAAAGCTTTAACTTGTGCTGTATGGTGCTACATGGATTATCTTTGCTTCTGAAGAATTACCTTGAAAAAGTCATTTGTTTGTATGCCAACAGTGAGGAGGAACGGGAGTTGGTTCTAACAGGGATGTTGACCCTAGTATATCCATAGATTTTATTTCTCAAGTAGCAGTTCAGACTCTTGATTTTAAGCAAAAGAAATGTGAGTGATGCCAAAGACAGTAAATGTAGTAACAGGATGTAAAAGAAAAAGGGCTTTCATGAATATTTTTTTCCTCTCAGTTTTTCTCTCTGAGCATTTTAGGGCTAAGCATGTTACCAGGGTACAGCCAAGAGGGGGGGCCCCAAATGGGCACTTGAAATGGGGTCCAGAACTCAAAGTGTCCAGATTTTAAGATGTCTTCACCCCTTCCCCCATAGGTGAGAGTTGGGGGAAGGGGCACACGGAGCAAGAACATGCGGGGCTGTTTTGTACAGCAACAGCTTTGCAGCTAATCCGTGACATGGTCATTTAACATACCTATAGCCTTTGGCTCGTCGCTTAGATATGCTAAATAGCTATGGGCCATGCTCTGGGCCAGGGGGATGGAAAGGGACCCCCCCCCCACCCAAGTTGTGACTGGGGGGGCTGGTCCCCCGAGTTACAGCGCCTGCGTGGGAGCTTGGCGAAGATTGGCTCCATGACATGGGGCCACACCTGCCCAGACCCACGTTGGCAGCCAGAAAAGCTGGAAAGGACGGGAGATTGAGGGCAAGCGTGGCCGACTGTGGGAGGAGTCAGAAATGGGGCTGCAGAGGAAGATTGGCGCGGGTATTTAAACCCAGACATGGCAGCCATTGAGGGAGAACCACGTGGTTTTGGCTGAGTGGGGTCTTCTGTGGTCCTGGGGGAGAGAGGACCATGTGGCTGGAGCGGTGGAGAGAGGACCACGTGCCTTTGCCAGAGCGGGGACCCCCGCAGCTTTAGAAGGGGGAACTACCATCCGGCTTTAACAGAGACCCCTGCGACACAGCTGAGGGTGCCGGGAACCCAGGGAGGTCTCCCCAAAATGGATTACTGGGAAGAACTGGGGCCTGCCTGAGCCAAGGACTTCTATTTCCTTTCCTGAGATACGGTACCCCAGACTAGGCAAAGGGGAAAGGAAGGACTGTGTGTGTTTGTGGGTGTTCTAAGGGACTTCAGGATTTTGATGAAGACATTAGGTCTCTACTTGAAGTTTGTATAGCATTAAATAAACATTTCCTTTCCTTTTCACGGATCTCTGGCATTGAGAGATGTCTTTCCTATGGGCGGCGGACATAATGGACCTGGGGTTTTCTTTCGGGTAATAGTATGTTGCCTAGGCCCCCGCCCTTGTTCTGTAACAAGCAGACTAATTTTATGCAAAATAAAATGTAAAGCCTTGGATCTTTTCAATATGGAAATGATAGCATTTCCTGTATCATTGAATCTTTTTGTAAAAGAACCTCTCCAAATGCTTTATTTAGCGATCAGATAAAAATGAGAATTAAAGAAAGACCTGGGTAAATGATGACAGCTATGATCCATGCCAGATTTCTTGAAACTCTACTATTTTTAAAAGAACATTAACATATTAATGGAAATGTTTTTTAAAACACATTAAAAGTGTAAACTAGTTTAGAGTTACACATTTGGAAGATTTTTACACATGTGTGTTGTTCTTTGGTTTCCCCGAAGTGCATGTAGCTCTATCTAGTTTTTTATTCGATTCTGAACAGATGAAGCTAGTGAACGAGAGTGGTGTTCATGCCAGATGGTTTGAAATTATGCTAAGGTGGAAAACATAAATGCGTCTGCATCGTGAGCACTGATTCGTAGATGCCTTTCCTTATAGCAAGCTGATTATTTCACAGAATTTGGAGGATCATCCATAAATGACGTACCAGTTAGTTCATCTTTCATGATACTGGTATTACAAGTTTTTAAAAATAAATGTGAATGAAGTCTTCCAAAATTTTAATTAATGAACTCAATAGCATTGGTGAGGTGGGTTCACTTTGGAGACTTTCTCCCTTTTGTATTATATTTCACATTAATACTGAAAGGTGTTGTGATGTTTTACACATTTTCTTTCATGTAATGTTACTTGGGCACAATAATGTGATATTTGGGGCTAGTTTGCTTTAAATTGTAGCTTTATTCTTAAATGGAAGTACTCTTAAATTATTAAAATAACATTTGTAGCTAAGGAAATAACCTTTTATTTACATTATAGCATTGTGGATTTGGACTCAGAAGACTCTTGTTATTGGAATATTAACAGTGTAGTCAGGAGTTAACCATACTTGCCTGGCTGAAGCTGCTGATTATTAATCAGGACATATGTTTGAGCTTATATTTTCTACAGTTAATTTTTAAAGTCAATACTTATGTAATGTTGTTAGGTAGTTGCCAGGTTTTGGTCTTAAAGAATACTTAATCTTTCTGGTTTATATCACCACTATTCCATAATGTATTTAAGCAGTATAAAAATGGTACTGTATACCTTTGACCCAAACAATATGATGATCTTCTTTGGAAGAGAAATGTATGTGAGCAGTTGAAGAATGACATTTATTCAAGGGAGTCAAAATTGGGTATTCCTATTTTATGCAGAATTTTTGTTTTCATTTTTTAAATTTAGATTTTTTAAAATATCAAAGCTTATCTAAGAAAATTGAAACACTGATGTGGTAGACACATCACATACATATTTATAATTTTAAATAACCACTTTGTCACTAAATTTTAGTGATTTCATATTTCCCAGAGAATTTCTGACTCGTTTTTCCCCTCCCTAAAAGTCTTTCTCTTTTCTGGTTGTTGGGAGGAATGAAAAGAGGTAGAAAGATTCTGATGTTTCTAACAAAGCTTTTTACTCATGTTTTTCTTCTACATAAGCTTGTTTTCTTTACTTTCCAATATTGTCAAAGAGAAGTTTGTTGAAACTTTCTGCGTATGGCCTATACTTGGGAGTGGGGGATGGTGAAAGGACAATTTGTCTTCATTACGGCAAGATTTTTCATATCGGAGGTTCGTTAGTTCTGTGAAGCACCCCTGAAAATGTATCATAGACAGATGACTCCTCTTGAAGCTAAGGTCAGAGAAAATATGTGTATGTTGGGGTGGGGGTGCTGCAAGCTTGATCAGTGTCTGCCTGTTAAAGCCATCTTATTCTAGCATTGCTGAATATGATCAAATGTATGAAATGGAAAATAAAATTGATTATTTCCCAGACTTTTAACGTGTTATACTTTAAACATTTAACAAATTTTAAACAAAGATTTCCTTTATTCTATAAGTTAAAGTTAATACCTTAAGAAAAATTCAGAAAAATCTAACTGTGGGCTTATTAATGCCAGGAAATATTCCAAACACTTTACATGTATTATTTCTTTGAGTCCTCACAGCAGCCCCATTAAGTAGGTACTCTTGGTAGCCCCACTTTACAGATGAGCGGGCTGTGGTACAGACAGGCTAAGTCACTTGTCAGGGGCCACACAGCTAGTAAATGACAGAGGCGGAATTTGAACCCATGCAGTCTAGTTCCAGAGCTCCAGCTCTTCATCTTCATTTACATACAATCCATCTTCTGTTGCCAAAACAACTCATCTGTTTTATTGTAGAATGTGTATGTTTAAGATCACTTCTTTAATTTTTGAAGTTCACTCTAATCCTAAATTTAAAAAAGGTACTGTGAATTAGAGAGAAGTGTTCTAAAATCACCCAGTGTCAGGAACTGAAGTGACATCAGGCAAGTATGCTTTTCACCCAGAAGTACTGGGGAGCTCGTGTGTTGCTCCTCTAGTTGTCTCGCGCCTTCACATATCTTGGCAGCTCTTGTCAGGAGACTCCCATTTGGTGAAGCATCTGAGATTTACTGTGTGATTTAAAAGTGGGTTCTGCCCTGGCTGGTGTGGCTCAGTGGATTAAGCATGGGTCTGGGAACCAAAGGGTTGCTGGTTCAATCCCCAGTCAGAGCACATGCCTGGGCTGTGGGCCAGGTCCCCAGTAGGGGGTATGCAAGAGGCAACCACACATTGATGTTTCTCTCCCTCTCTTTCTCCCTCCCTTCTCCTCTCTCTAAAAATAAATAAATGAAATCTTGTTTTAAAAATAAATAAAAGTGGGTTCAAGTAGGTTACCAATTTCCTATAACATTAATAATTCATTTTGGAAAATAACCTCCCCTCTTTGGCAGCTGTTTCCCATCTTCTAGTCCACATCCTTGTGGGTGGATGGCTAAGCAGAGGCAGAAGGAGGAGATACCAGGAAATGAAACTGTAGAATCCCAAGCTGCAGAGATAGCAAGATGCTCCACTGTGCTTACCAGGAAAACACTTTTGCTTTTCATGAAAATAGTGTATTTATTCAGCTTAAGCTTTAACTTAACCTACAAATATTTTACTAAAGGATTGGTGGATTTACATGATTTCTTGTCTTAAGAGAGCCCTTGTAAACTTGTATATAGTAATAGCAAGAATCAAAGGGGAGGTATTAAGGGGAAATCATCTTCCTGAATATCCATTCACTATGGTTACAGAGTTTCAGTGCTTAAGGAAAAACAAAAATGATTCAACACTTCAAAAGCAGCATTTTTGTTATGTAATAACAGAAACAATTATACTTTCTATTAAATTTTCCTGATAGGTTTAACTCTGAGTAATAAACCACAACATTTTTGGATACAAATCTGAGTTTGCAGAGAAGGGTTTTCAGTTTATTTATACTATTAAATGTTTCACTATGAATTGATTGAAAAGCCATTTGGTCATAGCTTTCTTGCAAAAAACGAAATAGTTAAACACCAGTCATTCTATTAGATACCATGTGTTTAGGGGTAGAGCACTGCTAGTTTATTTAAGTATTACTGGCTTATTGCCAGCATTGATAATCTACTCCATTCCAATTAATGCATAGTAAATTTGGATACAGATATCAGTAAGTTTATATGTAAACATAGAAACATATACCTCTTTCCAGCTCTTAGTTTAACTAAGTTTTGAAGTCTTTTGTAAGTTTTGTGTAGTAATTGTTTACAATTCCCTATTTCTTAATCTTAGCTTTCCTATGATAATCTGAATATATTCACATTTTGAAATTTTTTTACTGAAAATAGTATGATAATGACTTGGTTGTTTTATATAATACAGAATTTTTTAAAGTGTAGTTTTCAATTTTTGTGTTTCTTACTAATGTTGGGTTTCACAACTAGATGATTCTTTTAAAGTTTCTATGAGGAAATTAAACTTTTTTCAAAGTTACATTTATTTTTTTAAAAGCCAAGGCATAAACTTTAAAGTTTCTTAGCTAAGACTGAATCATATGTAGTGATATTACTAAATACAGTGATACTACTTTTTTTTTGTAGGAGATGGCAGATAGGTACTTCGGACCTGTTGGTAATGATGGCCTGAGCTAAAAACATCTCCTAATTTGAAGGGACGCCCTTCCGTGGCAAAGAACAGAATGCCGAGGAAGCCGTGGCAGGTACGTGTTCCATTGTTTCGGCAAGGTAAAACCCAGGTGCTGGATGTGCTCAGCTTGGATCCTGCGATACTACATTTGGCTAAAGTTTTAAAAGCTTTTCTTTAAAAAGCAGCAGATATTTTCCTCACGCTTTTTAAAGAAATGTACTTTTGCCATGACTGGTGTTCCTCCGTGGGTCGGATGTTGTCCCGCAAACCGAAAGGTCGCCAGATGGATCCCCAGTCAGGGCGCATGCCTGAGTTGCGGGCCAGGTCCCCGGTTAGGGGCTTCCAACAGGCAACTGATTGATGTTTCCCTCCCCCTCTTTCCCAAGACAATCAAATTCAAGTGTTAGGGTGAATATAGACAGTAATGAATGTAATAAAAATGAAAGCATCTAAGAAATTTGTGCCCAAGGTAATCTAATTTAAAAAATATAGGAGTATTAGATGCTTCAGTTTCAAAGGAAACAGCACCACACTTCATAATAAATCTGTGTGCTATATTTATCCTTGGTTTTCCCGTTGATACCTGCCGAGATCTTTGTGCTGCAGGCAGTGTGTCGGGTGCTGTGGTAACAGCGCTAAACAGGACAGATGAGGGAGGGCCCTGAGGGCAGAGATGCTGGGGGGGTGGGGCGGGGTCCAGGTGTTTTAACGTTCTTTTGCCCAGATCCAGAAAAATGTTTCAAGGACAATTTTCCTGCAAATATATTTTCAATATATAGTCTATTAAAAATAGTTCATTATAAAATTAGGATATTAATCAAAGACTTTAATTTAGATTAAACATACTATTTTTTAAATATTCAAATATATTTTTACATAATTACATTTCTAGTTTATTTATCTGATAATATATTGGCTTTCCTAAGAATAATTAGATTATATACTATACCGTTTGAAATATTTATACTTTAGTTCAGTTGTTAGAGTATTCCAGAAAACACTAAGAAAGATTATGTAACTATTAATATGGTGGTTCAGTTTTATTTTTAAAAAATTGATGAGTCCTTACAAATTGACATTACCAACCTAATTACTATTATATTTCAAGTATTTTTAAAAACTGAATGATTGTATCTTGAGTAAAAGGGGCAAGATGACAGACAGATGAATGGTTTTTCGGCCTCTCAATGATAATCTCACTTGGAATCAAGAATAGCATTCTTGTGTTAGACTGTCTGTGCAAGACTTAACTCCTGGAGAAAAGTAGAGGGAAACTACTTTCAGCAGAAAATTACTTTAGGGTCATAAACTTAAATAACAAAAATAGGAGATGTCATTATAGCGCTAGTTTGTGTATCCCACCCTCAGTATGTTACATACCCACCGACATGGCAGCAGAAGGTGGAAAACCAGGATATTAGTGTCCTGGGAACCTTCAAAACACACTTCACTCCTCAAACCTGCGGGCAGACCTCGCGAGGAGAAGTCTGTCCAGCTTGGATTCCTCTTTTAATCTTTAGCAGTATTAAGGTCAGCTTTCTCAGGTGGAAAAAAACAGGAAAGAGGATAGAGTTTCTAAACCTTTAAGCCTTAATTAACATTAACAAAGAGATCTTCTGAAATTAGATTATCTTTGGCCACAATTTCTTAGATGCTTTCATTTTTATTACATTCATTTTTTTCCATATTCACCTTAATACTTGAATTTTGATTGCCTTAAGGCCAGTTTGGAAATTTTCTTGAGGTTTCTCTTTTAGTTAATAATTCTAGATACAGCAATTTTTAAAAACATTTGTTGTGGGTACAAATTTGGGTTGTGAAATTTCTCATTTAATTTTTTAAAAGAACTTAACTGCTGTTTCTAAATATTTTTACATCTTAGCTTTGAAAAGTGCCTCAAGAGTGTAAAGACCAAAATATTTTTTGTTTGTGTTAATTTGATACCATTCTTCTTTGTTCCTACTATTACTTAAGGCATTCTGTGACTTTGGTGGGTTTCTAACTTTTAGTTTTAATACAAACATGTAAAAATAAGTATTTTCAGCTGGCTAAACAGAGCTGTGACTCAAGAGAGGAAGAAGTGAAACTAAATAAAACACAGGGTCCAAAGAATTTTCAGTGTATGTATTAATACATATTCCAAATGATTCTCAGCTTGGGTATTTTAGCTACCCAAAGAACAGTTTTATTTAGTTGGTAGTAGGTCAAAACTAACATGATCTTTAAAAATTATAGTTATCTTCTAAATGTTCTTATTTGACCCAGAATTGGTATAAAAAACAAAGTTTGTTTTTATTCACATAAAACCTTACCAAAATAACATTCTTTTGTGGCTAACTAGGCCAATAAACTATCTGTTAATCATTTAATTTGAAGTATAAGACAGCCAAAAAAAATAGAGGTTTGGAAATTCGGTGTAGTTATGGCTCTGCTTAACTATAAAAAAATTTGAACCTTTTTATAAAAGGTATTAAACATAGAATTTGAAACAATCCCTCACTTTTTATTGTGCATTCCATTGAGAATGTATATTTTAATTTCATTAAAAATGTTACATCATTAAACTGTAGTTTTCTTTTGGAAGAAAAATAATGATCCAAGTTCAAATTTCCATTTGCTTTCTTGTAGAGACTAGTTCTTTGAGTGAATTTATCTTCCTTGTTTCGTTCACAAATTGAGTCCACCTAGTCCACAAATTGAGATATACAGTATTCGTGCATAAAACTGATTTGTCACAACAGAATTATAGATGTTTGTAAATATTTGTTGAATATTTATTGCTCAATTTTTATAAGTAGAATGTTTAATATTCTAATAGCTAAGGTAATTTTATTAGTAAGGATTTTACCATTGAAAGTAATGAACCATAAAGCAAGCACAGTTGTTCTTTATAGCTCCTCTGTAAATGAGTGCTTAGTGAAGTAACATTTGTTATAATATTCAATGCAGATATATTTTAAAGGGTTTCTTTCAGCAAATATTATTGGGGCCTTGATAGGCACTGTGTTGGGCCCTGGGGAAAGCTAAACAGACATTCCTTTTGACCATGTAAGAACTGCTATTAGAACTGTCCAAAATTTTTATAATATGATGAAATAAACTTTGCTTTCACTAAATGCTTTTCTGGAGAGAAACTCTGTTGTAATAATTTTGACGAGTTAAGAATTATTAACTGATTAAGGGACAACCTATCCTCAGGAGAATAGCCAGGATGCAGGTAAAACCATGGAAATTGTCTTGGCCTAAATCCAAACCTGGAGATCATGGGTGCTCTTGAGGTTCTTATAGACAGTCTGCCTTCTCAGGCCTGTGGCAGGAGCTCCAAAAAATACCTGGAATACACCTGAGTGCTATACAGAAAGGACCACAGAAATATTTTAGTGTGTTTGCAACTGTAAGGCCTTGAAACTATTGTTTGTTGTATTTTATAATAAAGCAAAGAGCAATATTAAAGAAAACTTGTAACCCTGACTGGTGTGGCTCAGTGGATTGAGTGCCAGCCTGCAAACCAAAGGGTCACCAGTTCAGTTCCCAGTCAGGGCACATGCCTGGGTTGGGGGCATGCAAGAGGCAACTGATTGATGTCTCTCTCCCTGTCTTTCTCCCACCCTTACCTTACCCTCTATGAAAATACAGAAATAAAATCTTTAAAAAAAAAAGACAATTTGTAAATACTACAACACTAACATTTCACCCATCTCATGTGAAAAAATGTATTTTTTATATTCTCATCTTGTTTTTGTCCATATGCATACATATTTTCCCTTAGTTATTTTATAATATGCAAATTTTTATTTTTAAAAATTTAACAGCAAATGGGTCTTGTCTCATATTCCTTCATTACTCTTTTGTTTTCATTTTTGGTTTGTTTTTTTTTTTCAACATTTCCCCAGCTTTACTGAGAATGATTGGCACAATTGCTCATGTTTAAAATGTATGATTTCATGAATTTTGGCTTAATTACTCTTTTGATGACCATTTTTAATGTCAGTATAACAATTAATTGATTTGATCAGTTATTTTTTAACATTTCTCTACTGAAAGGTTAACTGAAAATAGTTTTCAAATGTAACTTTATTTATAGTGCTGGATGCATGTAGAGCATGAGTTTCCCTTTATTGGCAGACTTCACTTTAATTGTGTTTTAATTGCCAAGCCACTTCACTACTCAGTTGTGCAACTGAACTCTAACCCCTTTTTGCAGGTAAATAGTGCAAGTTTCCCCAAATTGATTTTGAGTTGTTTCCAGTTGACCTTCAAGTAGAGGATAAAGTGTCTGTCAGCTGGTAGTGACTTCTGTGTGACAGTTGCCAGCCCCACAGCACTTTAATGACAAAGAAGATGAGCTGGAACTACAACATAGAAATTTTTATGCTATATTTTTACCCCTTCTACTTTTTCATTCAATTTGTGTGGCTTGTTAGCTGATTAAGTTTTTTAACAGAGAGATGAAGGGAAAGAGAACACCACTAAATAAATAGTATTTTTTCATCTCCCACGAGAATTTTTCAGGGACTGGAAAATAGCATTAATTAGTTATCTACTGTGCATCAGAGTGTGTGAAGCATTTCATTTGGATCAGGCTCTCAGGTAGATACCACCTCATATGGTAGATTCTCATTTTCTCCAAGGCAGCCCTCTCTTTTTCATTTCTAGAAGCCTCTTGCAGTGTGCTCATACACGGCAGTTCCCAACACTTCCTCTCTCATTGCACTGATCGTAGTTATTCTAAGTAACTGCTGGCCGACCCCCTTCCGTGTTCACCTGCTAGTACCTGGACGGCCAGAGACCATCTGTCTTGGTCACCGCTGTATCTCTAGTGCCTGTAAGTGCCTGGCACATGGTTGCCATTCAACAAGCAGTTGTTGAATGAATGTGTTCAATTGGAGAGTCTTGGTTTCATAGGTGGGAAAACTGAAGTTGATACTGAAAAACTTTAACAGTCATCTAACTACCAAGTAACAGAGGAGTCTCCCAAACCTGTGGTTTCACGTCACACCACAGTGCCTCTGAATTTACCCCTCCGGGCCTGGGCTCCTTCTTCCATGAAAATGGGGTGACTGCATTGAGGCCCTCGCTTCCCCCCAGATGATGATGGCTCTATAAGGATGCCAAGGGTGCTTTTGTTTGTGCTTTGGTTTATTTTTAGGCTATATACTATATAGGTATGACAGAAGATTTGAGCCATTAGATCAAATACTGAGGCTCTTTGGGGAATGTTCAGTCTTCCTTTAGAAGTATGTTAAATAATAAACCGATTCTGGTTTTGTTAGCAAAATGTGAGTAAACCGTTCTAGGAGTAAAGAGGAAAGAGTATATAGTTGGGTGTAGAATTAACCTGAGGTTGAGGCAATCTGTAATACCGAAGGTAATCAGGTTTTTAGGCTTCATGTTATTGAAGACTTTGTTTTAAAAAAGCCTTTCTTTTAAGTAGCTTATCTAAATTTAATTATATTGCCAAGACCAATGCTTAAAAAAAAAGGGCACAATTGTGGGTATACATCATTAGATTGTAATATAACGTATGAATGTTTTGTAATTTTCATGACTTTAGCAAAAAATATTTAAGCTTTTCAAATTTGTTTATGTCAGCTTAAATTCTTATGAACTGACCATTCTGAGTGGCAAACTATAAGAAAGAAAAATAAAGGTTACTATTTGGTAGCATATTCCTATATTTATACTAGATGAGAAATAAGTTTAGCCCAAGACTGAGAGAGCCAGAATAATCAAGAGACCTTAGCTCCTCAGGTTTCCCTTCTGTGTCTCTTACAGGAACTGGCGACTTTGCTCCACGCCTGGGTGCCTTCCCAGGCCTGCCTTCTGCAGGGGCACCCGAAGGGACACATGAAATTCACTTCAGATTAATTTTCTAATTCCATGGCTCAGCCATGGCAAGCTGGGGAGGAGTTTTGATGGAATTGATATATTGTCTGGAAGGTGTTTATGTTTGTAAGGCAAAGGCTTTCAAACACATCTTGGAACCCATCAAAGGTGGAAGCAGGGATTATGGGATCCATGGGATGGGGTCAGGGGGTCGTTCAGCCTCTGTGCTTTTCCAGCCAGACAGCTCTTCTCTCTTCTGTTTCGGGCTGGGGCTTCGCATAGAATTTGGTCAGAAGAAAGGGCTCCCCTGCTTAAAACAAAATGTTTGAAAACCACCACTTTCAAGAAAGGTAGTTTTAGGAAAAAGCTTTATTTGACATTTTTTAAAAATTCCACTTTTCAATGATTGTTTACAATCAATATTATTTTGTATTAGTTTTAGCTGTACAGCATAGTGGGTAGACAGTCATATACTTCACGAAGTGATCCCCCCAGTACTTGCAGTACCCACATGGGGCCATACATAGTTATCACAATGTTATTGACTATATTCCCAATGCTGTACTTGACATTCCTGTGACTGTTTTGTAACTGCCGATTTGTACTACTCAGTCCCTTCACCTTTTTCACCTGGTTTCCTAAGTTCCCTCCCCTCTGGCAGCCATCAGTATGTTCTCTCTATGAGTGTTTGTTTTCTTTGTTTGATTATAGTTTTCTTTAGATTCCACATATATAAATCAAATCATATATTTGTCTCTCTCTGACTTACGTCACTTAGCATTATCCTGTAGGTCCATCCATGCTCTTGCAAATGGTAACATTTTATTCTTTTTTATGGCCAAGTAATATTCCATTGTATATGTTTGTCACCACTGTTTTTATCTTCTTGTGTATTGATGGGCACTTGGGTTGCTTCCCTTATCTTGGCTATTGTAAATAATGCTGCAGTGAACACAGGGGTGCATATCTCCGTTTGAATTAGTGTTTTGGGTTTTTTAGGTATATATCAATACCAAGAAATAAGCACTGGATCATTAAAGACAGTTCCATTTTTAATTTTTTGAGGAACTTCCATACTATTTTCTATAGTGGCTGTATCAGTCTGCATTCCTACCAACAGTGCAAAAATGTTCCCTTTTTTCTACATCCTCACCAGCACTTGTTGTTTGTTGATTTATTGATGATAGGCATTCTGACAGGTGTGAGGTGATATTTCATTGGGATTTTATTTGCATTTCTTTGATGATTAATGATGTTGAGCATCTTTTCATGTGTCTATTGGCCATCTATATGTCCTGTTTGGAGAAGTGTCTGTTTGGGCCCTCTGTTCATTTTTTAATGAGATTATTTTTTGATATTGCATGAATTCTTTATACATTTTGACTATTAAGCACTTATTAGAAGTATATCTTTGACTTTTAGCTACTAGTCGACCCTAGTTAATATCAATACCTATCATCGTAGAATAACAATCACGAAACAGCTTACTCCCCTGCCCTTCACTATTTCCTCCTTCACTTTTGAACACACAGGTGCTGCTCATTGGACTTCTCCACTCACCTAGAGCTGTTTGAGGAATCCCCTGCTTGTAATGACCAAAGAATGACCCAACAGCCATGGTAACACTTAAACAAAGTAGCGGTGTTCCTATGGAACTGAACAGAGGAGGTGGAATTAGCTTGGTTTATGTCATGAAGAGATAGTTTCCAGTTTCAGATTTCTTTATATTCTCTTAGAAATCAAAGACATTTGATAGAGGGAAAAAAAAAGAATGATACCTCTGAGAGTAGGGAACTGGACTGTTGACACCGCTGTTGTTACTGAACTGATGGTCTTTATTTCACAACGTGGGAACTCAGGGAACAGGTGCTTTGAGTGCAGCTCCCCATCTGGTGCTTGGACCCATGAAGGGTACACAGTGTGTACTGGAGTGATCTCAGCGAGGAGGATCTCAGCACCTCCAAAGGCAGGGTCTCCTCCCTCTGGACAGCACTGTTTCCTAAAAATGCTCCTCCCTTTCCTGAGTCAGGTGTCCCCTCCTTGAGACCTGGTTTTGCTTTATGATCTTTGAAGTAAGCTTCTCCTCATTCAGCTAGGACAAAGAGCATACCAGTATATGAATAGTTCTAATTTGTGGCAGAGAATAAGAGCCCTTACTCATTTCATTCATTTTTATTTTATGTAGACTTCAGAAGCACATCAACCTTAAAGGATTTAGCATCAAAATTTTATTTGAAATATTTTAAAAATGTATTTGTATGAATATAATGCACGTTTTCTTGATGCTTTAAGGTCATTTGTATGACTTTCAGGTACTGTTCTCTACAGTGATGCCCTTGTGTTATGATGAGTTTTTTGTTTTTAAGATTTTATTTATTTTTAAAGAGAGGGGAAGGGAGGGAGAAAGAGAGGGAGAGAAACACTGATGCATGAAACATCAATCAGTTGCCTCTCCGTGTGCCCAAACCTGGGACCGGGCCCACAACCCAGGCATGTTCCCTAACCAGGAATTAAACTGCTGACCTTTTGCTTTGTGGGACAGTACTCAACCTACTGAGCCATGCTGGTCAGGACTAGTTTGTTTGTTTGTTTGTTTAATCTCACCCAAGGACATTTTTTTCATTGTGTTTAGAGAGAGGGAAAAGGTGGGGGGCAGAGAGAGAAACATTGATCTCGTATGCTCCCCGACCAGGGTATATGCCCCAACTGGGGATCAAACCCACGACCCTTCAGTCTGTGGGACGATGCTCCAACTGAGCCACGCTGGCTAGGACATGTCCTATTCATTGTGGTTCAAGAGAATAAAGTCCTACTTTCTGGCTGCTTATATGCAAAGGGGATACAGAAATGAACAAGAAGTTGGCCAAGGTAGTTCAGCTGGGAGAGCATTAGGTTAAAGATAAAAAGGTCGTTGGGTCAGTCCAGAGTTTCAGGAGCTTTGTTGTATCTCAATAAGCTATTATTTTAAAAAAAAGAAGAAGAAGAAGAAGAAGAAAATAATGAAATACACACCTGTAATGAGGAGGAGGTTGTGGGACAGAAATGCAACATTTCTCTACTACAACACAGTCAATAATAGACTAGAAAATAGGCGGGAGGAGGCCAGGCCAAGTTGAAATGAGGTGAACTAACTGTAAGGCAGACAGAGAGATCCCCCCACAAGTGCACAAACGTGTGCTCTGGCATAAGGGCCAGCCTGCGTTGAGTGTCCAGGGAACGGCATTCACTTCTGCTGTGCTTAAAGCGTAAGGAAACAGGAGAAAGGAGAGAGGTGACAGGGGACTGAGGTTGGAGCCAGGTTGTGGAGGGAACTCTGTGTAGCTTCAGGAGTTCGGACTTTATTCTTTCATAAACTTTAAGTCAGGAGACTGATATGATTAGATGTGTTTTATAAATTCTGGTAGCATTGTGGGAAATGATTAAGAATAACGTTTCTGAAACTTTGATCATTCACATTCTGTCTTTGCTTCTTTGCCATACTTGGGCATGCTTTGGGGGATGATGAGGTAGACCAGTAAGAAGAGGGCATAACTGATGGATTGAATCTCTTACACGCTTAATGGTCATAGTCCCTGAGTACGTGTGACTGCTTTTTATAGTTTTAAAGTTCCTCCCTTGTTAACATATTATCATTCCACACTGATAATAGTCTTGCCAAAGCAAACTCTTTCCCCAACTTCTCTTCCAATATATAGCTAGCTGAAAATCCAAATAAACAAGCCCATGAGCTGACCCATGAGTACTGTACATGACCTTCAGAGAGCTGGTTTGGAGACATCTATTTTGATCCTTAGAGGACTTTTTTTCCTGGGTCTGGTCTTATTCGACATTTTTATAACTGAGCAATCCAACAACTTCATATGAGTGAAATATAACTGTAATTTGTTTAAAAGATCCTAATCACTCATTTAAAAACATTTTTAAATTTATTTTAATGTAGGTGATTGGAGTTGTGCTTCAAAAATTTCAGCAGTTCAACAGTATTTTATCTGCCAACAATAAGCTCTTTACTTGATTGCACCATGAAAAAGCTGCTAATGAGACTTCTTGAGCACAGAAGCAGACTTGAAGAACCAAAAGCCATTGTTTTCAAATGAAGAATACTGAACGATTTTAAGCCTCAGTGCTTTTTAATCACCACTGAGGTTTTCCCCGTAACAACAGAATGGCAAGCAGGCGAAAATCAACAACACCTTGCATGGTCCTTGCCAGTGAACAGGATCCGGACCCCGAGCTGATATCAGATTTGGATGAGGGACCTCCTGTACTCATACCTCTGGAAAACGCCAGAGTGGAGAGTGACTTCTTCATCTCAAGTGACGAAGAACTTTATGAATCTATGTATTCTGACAATCAGCAAAATAAAAAAGTTGAAGGTGGCTATGAATGTAAATATTGTACTTTCCAAACTCCAGACCTAAATATGTTTACTTTTCATGTGGATTCAGAACATCCCACCGTAGTGCTCAATTCTTCCTATGTTTGTGTCGAATGCAATTTTCTTACCAAAAGGTATGACGCACTTTCCGAGCATAATCTGAAGTACCATCCAGGAGAAGAGAATTTTAAGTTGACTATGGTGAAACGCAAAAACCAGACAATCTTTGAACAAACCATAAATGACCTGACCTTCGATGGTAGTTTTGTTAAAGAGGAGAACTCAGAGCCAGCTGAATCTACAGAGGTTTCTTCTTCAGGAATATCCATCAGTAAAACTCCTATCATGAAAATGATGAAGAGTAAAGTGGAGAACAAACGGATCACAGTCCATCATAACTCCGCTGAGGATGTTCCCGAAGAGAAAGAGAAGGAGATCAAACCAGAACGTGAAGAAACTGTGGAGACTCCAAGTTCTTCGGCTCCTGAATCGCATACCAGTACTTCCATTGTCCACAGAATACACCCGAATGCTGCCAGCACGGTAGTGACCCCAGCGGCAGTTCTTCCCGGGTTAGCGCAGGTAATAACCGCTGTGTCAGCCCAGCAGAATTCCAGTCTGATCCCCAAAGTCTTAATCCCTGTTAATAGCATTCCTACCTACAATGCTGCATTGGATAACAACCCCCTTTTGCTGAACACCTACAACAAATTCCCTTATCCAACGATGTCAGAAATTACTGTTCTTTCCGCTCAAGCAAAATACACAGAGGAGCAGATCAAGATCTGGTTCTCGGCCCAACGCCTAAAACATGGTGTGAGCTGGACTCCCGAGGAAGTAGAGGAGGCAAGAAGAAAGCAGTTCAATGGAACAGTACACACTGTACCTCAGACCATAACTGTTATTCCAGCACATATTTCCACAGGGAGTAATGGCTTACCATCCATTTTACAGACATGCCAAATAGTTGGTCAGCCCGGCCTGGTCCTCACACAAGTAGCTGGAACAAACACCTTGAATACCTTGCCGGTAACAGCACCGATAGCCTTGACTGTGGCAGGGGTGCCAAATCAAACCAGCGTACAGAGAAGTCAGGCCCCTGCCGCTCAGCCTCCTGCAGAAGCAAAGCCAGTGCCAGCCCCGGCCCCAGCGCCAGCCCCGGCCCCGGCCCCAGCGCCAGCCCCGGCCCCGGCCCCAGCTCCAGGCCCAGCCCCAGCTCCGGCCCCGGCCCCGGCCCCGGCCCCAGCCCCAGGCCCAGCCCCCAGCTCCGGCTCCGGCCCCGGCCCCCGCCCCGGCCCCGGCCCCAGCCCCAGCCCCAGCCACCCCAGCTCCAGCCCCAGCCCCTCAGCTTGTCAAACACGAAACCGCACTGGCAAACCCCGATTCATTTGGCATTCGAGCAAAAAAGACTAAGGAGCAACTCGCAGAATTAAAAGTCAGCTACCTTAAAAATCAGTTTCCCCATGACTCAGAAATTATCAGACTTATGAAAATCACAGGCCTGACGAAAGGGGAGATTAAAAAATGGTTCAGTGACACGAGGTACAACCAGAGAAATTCAAAGAGTAATCAGTGCTTACATCTCAACGATTCCTCCACCACCATTATTATCGACTCCAGTGATGAGACCACGGAATCCCCAACGGCTGTTCCTTCGCAGCAGAAACAGTCCTGGAATCCTTTCCCGGACTTTACGCCCCAGAAGTTTAAGGAGAAGACAGCAGAGCAGCTTCAGGCCCTTCAGGCAAGTTTCCTCAACAGCTCCGTACTGACGGATGAAGAATTAAATAGGTTACGAGCGCAAACCAAACTGACCAGGAGGGAAATTGATGCTTGGTTTACAGAGCAGAAGAAATCAAAAGCTATAAAGGAAGAGAAAATGGAAGTAGATGAAGCTAATGCAGGTAGTTCCAAAGAAGAGGTGGGAGAAACGCCTCCCGCAGACGAATCCGCTGCGTCTAAGTCCGGGAGTACAGGCAAGATATGTAAAAAGTCACCTGAGCAGTTGCACATGCTCAAAAGCGCATTTGTCCGAACACAGTGGCCATCACCAGAAGAGTATGACAAGTTGGCCGAAGAAAGCGGGCTTGCCAGAACAGACATAGTTAGCTGGTTTGGGGACACTCGGTATGCTTGGAAAAATGGAAACTTAAAATGGTACTACTACTACCAAAGCTCCAATTCGAGTGGTATGAATGGCCTGTCCCTTCGGAGAAGGGGGAGAGGGAGACCCAAAGGAAGGGGAAGAGGAAGGCCACGCGGGCGGCCTCGAGGAGGCAAGAGAATGAACAATTGGGACAGGGGGCCATCACTCATAAAGTTTAAAACTGGAACTGCAATCCTTAAGGATTATTACCTGAAGCACAAATTTCTTAATGAGCAAGACCTTGACGAACTTGTTAACAAGTCACATATGGGCTACGAGCAGGTCAGAGAGTGGTTTGCTGAAAGACAGAGAAGATCTGAGTTAGGGATGGAATTATTTGAGGAAAATGAGGAGGAAGACGAAGTCATTGATGATCAGGAAGAGGATGACGAAGAAACGGATGATAGTGACACCTGGGAACCCCCGCAACATGTGAAGCGGAAGCTTTCTAAATCAGATGACTGAAATGTAAGTTTTTAATCTGAGTGTACATTCACCAACCACACACATTTAGAACAGCCACCTGGTGATCTGTACTCGCCACCTGTGACAGCTGTTTTCTAAAACAGTTTTTCTTTTACCTAATACGAGAACTAGGTGCTAAGAGTATAGCCAACAAACACGTGATTATCATGTATAGTCTGGTTATTTTGTAGAGTTTAATATTGCTTTCATTATTTTTTTAAATGAAGTTTTTCTACTTTGTTTTAAGCACAAGCTACCCATTCTTTAAGAAGGAAGGCTGGTAGGCAGGAGGGAGTTCACAAATACTAAAGATAACTAAAATGTATTTTTTGCAACCCTCCTTCAAATTGTTTGCCTATTTAAGGAAAGAATTGAAAAACGAGAACTAAAAAGAGGGGGGAAAGTATACTGAAGATTTGCCACAGGCGTGAGGATTGCTCAGTTTTAGAAAACTAGGTGAAAATGGGTATTTTTTTTATTGTATTGCCCCCAAAATCCTAGTTTTAACTAGAGTTTAAAAATGCTTTATGTATTAAAATTGCTCAATACTTTTTCTATTAAAGCCAAAGGTCTGTTTTGGCTATCCATAAATGCCATGTTTGCTTCGGTGGCATCTGTTTTTGTAAACTGTAATAAAAATCCTTTGTTTTAGAGGTCAAAAGGTAAACAACAGATTTGATATTAAGTTAACTTAATTGCCTAAATTGTATTTTCATTCTTAGATATAAAACAAACCTGCCACCAGCAGAAACACTGTATTTGGTTAAAAATATGTCTCTGAGGTCATGAAAGTTCAAGTAAATATGCTTTAAATTTAAAGATTTGGCATATTCCTTAAATCTTCATTCTGTAGGTGGGATTATATTAAAATTTCACTATAGTTACAAATCAGATACCTGATTTGGAGTTAAGGACCTCAATTCTTAATAGTTTTAGAATTCAATAGCATAGTTTTATTCTTGACTCTCGGTTTTTGAGTGTTCTAGCAATGCGCTTGTCATGAAAGCGTCTATCAGTCGTCCAAGGGCATCTTCCTGGGAGCTCCTGCAGCGCTGCTGCATCGGGAAGGGGAGATAAGAGCACAGACCCCTGTGACCATACGAGCATGTTTACTTACTGCCCTGGCTTTATGCGTCCCTGTCCCATCCTTTGCTGGTATGCTTTCTTGTTCTGCACAGTGTACTCTCCTTAATTCTCCCCCGTCTTCCTCCCTGCTTTTATTTATTTTGTTAAAATGATTAACTTGCCCTGGCTGGCGTAGCTCAGTGCATTGAGCGCCGGCTGTGAACCAGTGTCGCAGGTTCAATTCCCAGCGGGGTACATGCCTGGGTTGCAGGCCATAACCCCCAGCAACCGCACATTGATGTTTCTCTCTCTCCCTCCCTCCCTTCCCTCTCTAAAAAATGAAATAAATAAATAAATCTTAAAAAGAAAACAAAAAACGATTAACTTATAGACAGCTTAATATGTACCAGTCACTGTGCTTACTGCCAGCAATCCTATTCCAGGTTTTCTTCTCATTAGCATTTTTCTCCAGGCAGAGAAACATATGAAACTAAAAATGCACCTACTTTTGAATAAATCTCCTCAGGTTAGATAGCAAAATGTATTGTAAGCCACAGCAGTTAAACAGGTTTACGCCGAAGTGCGGTCCTCCATTTCCTAGTGTCAGAGATCTTCAGGACAGGCTTTCTCCTGACCCAGATGCATGAAATATTTTTAACAGGCATTTTTTTTATTGCTAAACACAAGAATGCACACTCAGCCAAGATTAAATCAACAAATTTTTGCCACAATGAATTGTTGTAACTTCTGCGGTGATTTTGTAGGGAATTTCTGTCCTCTAAAACATAATGTGAACTTTATATAATTTATTTTGACCTTACTTTAACTTTATGTGGATTATTCTTATGTATTAATACTCTAATAGGCATTATGGTAAAAAAAATTGACACAAAGCCACAGTTTAAAAAAACATTGTGTCATACATGTCATACATGTAATCTTGTGGTACATATACAGGCTTGGCATGCTTTTAAAATACGCCAAAGTCTAAAATTATAAGACATTAATTAGCAAGTTATCATTGGCTTAACAAAATAATTTTTCATCTTACAAAAGGATTCACCGTAAGTTTCCTCTAAATGGTTACTTTTTCATTTGAATATGGTTCAACTTGCAAAAAAAAAAAAAGTAACCAAAGCCTTTCCAAAACAGTTATTGCAAAAGGTCAGATACAGTAGTCCCCCCTTATCATCAGGAGGCATGTTCTCAGAGCCTCTGTGGATGCCCAACACTGCAGATAGTGCCAAGTCCTATACAAAGTATTTTTTCTATACACGCACACTTATGATAAAGTTTAATTTGTTAATCAGGCACAGGAAGAGATCAACAATAACTAATAAAATAGAACAATTATACTAATATACTGTAATGAAAGTTACATCAATGTGGTCTCTCTATCTCCGATAACCCAGAGAGCTACTAAGTGACAGACGAGCAGGTGGCATAAAGAGTATGGATTTGCTGGACAAAGATGATTCACACCCTGGGGGTACAGAAGGGGATGGGGTGAGATTTCATCATTTCATTTGAGCACAAAACAGCATGCAATTTAAAACTCATGAATTGTTTATGTCTGGAATTTTCCATTTAATACTTTTGGACTGTGGTGGACCACGAGTAACTGAAACCTCAGAAAGTGAAACCATGGATAAGGGGGATTGCTGTACGTATATGTCATTTGCACGAGCCAGCCTTGTACAGTAAGTCCTCGCTTAATGTTGTCAATAGATGGTGTGACTTTAAGCAAAGTGACCTATAAGGAAACCAATCGTACCGTAGGCAGACTGATGTAAACAAGAGTTAAATTCCTGCAGCATCTCACCAATGTTACAATGAAATGATATTGAACAAATCAGTGTTATTAGAGGACCTGCTGTATATAAGAAAAAAATACAAGAGTTTAGATTTCATAGTTTATTACAAATACAATGAAATATATACTTCCCACTAATAATTTTTAAATAAATTATTACATGTAGGTGAAAATGTCTATAAGCAGATCTGGTTTATGTACACCATGCCCATAGGAGCTGCACACAAAATCTAGTGTATTATATAAGATACATGTGGGTGCAGGGTCCGGCAGAAGTAACGCCTACTTGAGTGTGGTTGGTAGGGTGTAATAATTTATAGGTTTTTATTTTAAGATTTATTTATTTTCAGAGAGGGGAAGGGAGGGAGAAAAAGGAGAGAAACATCAATGTATGGTTGCCTCTCACGAGTCCCCCATTGGGGACCCAGCCCACAACCCAGGCATGTGCCCTGACGGGGAATCGAATAGTGACCCTCTTTGGTCCATAGTCCAGCGCTCAATCCACTGAGCTATACCAGCCAGGGCTTAATTTATAGTTTTAATTTGAACATTTTATCTAAATGTCATAGGGTGTGCTCGAATATGACATTGTTCTGTTACAGAATAACATGCTTATGATTTTGTAACAAAAGATTTTGTAATAAAAAAGGGGTGTTACTTGTGTCGGACCCTGTATTTAAGATCTAGTGCATATACATGATATATGAGTGACTACAGAGGATGTGTTTTCATGACCAATTTATATCACTTTTGCTTCTAAAAGTGGTACACATTAAAATATGGTTTTAAATTTAAATTTTTAGTTTTTTTATGTTTTTCTTTTATAGCTGCCTAAAACATTGGAGGAGAATCAGCTCTTCAACTCAAGATATCTGATTTACTGTGAATGGGCCCAATATTTAATGACACTGAAAACCTTTGGGGACATACATATTCTCAAAAAAATAGGATCCAATACCCACAAGAAATGGAACTTAATGTTGTGCCAAAGTTAAACTACTGCAGCTGGTGAAAGTTCTGCAATGTAAATAGAACACTAATTTAAAAACAAATTGTAAAGATTCAAGTTTTAATACAGTGCATTTTTATTCTGACATGATGGAGACATTCTGAAGCTTAGACTTTCGAAGGGGGTTTAATGACCACTAGAGCTTGTCCTCATACTTTGTCCAGCGTAACACTGTGTGTCTAGTACGATGGGCCTTACTGTCTGTATTCTTTGATATGTGATTAAACTAATAGCTTTGAGTGACCAAACATTTTCCAGAGTAAAGATTGTTAGAAACGGGAAAAAGAAAGACCTGATTTATTTCTGTGTCTTATTTATGAGGCCCTGCATGAAAATTAAAAGTTATGCATGGGCTTATACATTCTCAGTGTAAGTGAAAATACAGCCTGTTGACACATGTTGGAACAATAAGGTTTTATGGTATTATTGGCTGTTAATTATGGGATCTTTCATAGACACCACTGTTAACTACTTGTAATGCTTCTGTTACTTTTTTTTAATTCAAAGCTGAATTTGCTTTTTATTAAACTGAAGATAATCAACACTGAAGAAGGAAAAGAAGCTCGCCAGCATTAAGAATTACGATAGGGTGCAACTCTGAAATGAATACTGTACCAATCATGGAAATCAGAAATGTTCGTACCAGTGTCAGATCAGAATTTTCAAGAATTACCTTTCAGTGAAATTCTACTTTGTGTAACAGTTTCAGTGAATAGAGAAAAAATTCTGAACTGATCACAGAGTTAAAAAGTTAGCATTTCACTTATGAATCATGGAAGTGTGTTAACTCTTGCAGTGTCAGAAGACTGCAAGTATCTACTAACTTACAAACTTTGTAAAGACAGGTGCTGTTCATTGATATTGAGAAGGACCCTTTCTTTTGTGACTATAGGACCATTTTTCAAGATGTGCTTTCTTCGTAGAAGAAAATGTTCAGTTCATTTAGCTTTGGATTTAAAAAAAGTTTCTTTTCTCAATGACCAGATGTAGTGGGCTTGGTCAGTTTAATCTGATTTAATGAATAATAAATATTAAATTCTTGTTTTTACGTAAATGTTTGTTGGCTCATGAAAATATTATGAAGAAGCCTTGAATATGCATGTGGCTTTCATTTTTATAGACTTTTTATTTTTTAACTCTAGCTTTATTAGTAATTCCAAAATGCTGAAGTTTAGCTGATCTCCTCACTCAGACAGCTGGCTTTGTGGGCGGCTTTTTCATACTACTGTTGATTTTTTAAAAGAGAAGCAATGTAAAGACTGTAACAATTTAATGCACTAAAACTGTTCTTTCTTTCTTCTACACGTTTGAAAACTTCTTACAGCACTCTGTAATATAACAATTAAATTGCTCCCTTTTCTAAACCATTGCTAATGTGATCTGAGTTTTGCTTGGCAATAATTTTCACATTTTCAAAATTTGAAATGTCAAGTATTGGACAAGTATGAAGCCTTTGGATATATTTATATTGTTTCCTTTACAAATCTGTCAGTTAACTTTGTATAGCTGTAAAGAACTATTAGTAATTGTTCCTTCTCTTTCATAGACTTGGCACTTAATTCTGCTCTGATGTTTGCTAGCTTTCGAATCTATTTGACAGAGCAAAGAACCCTCTCTTGGTTGTGTCCTTGAATACAAAATAAAAGTAAGCTGTGATTAGTAGTTTTCAGTGATTTTTCCCCCCATTTCATTAACTTAAGTTTTTTCAAAATGTGGTAAAATATACATAACAAAATTGACCATTGTATCTGTTTTTAAGTGTAGAGTCAGATTGCATTAATTATATTCATGTTGGGCAACCATGACCACTTATTTCCAAAATGTTTTCATCATTCCAAGCAGAAATTCTGTAACAGTTAAGCAATAACTCTCGATTTTCCCTCCCCCCTGATAACCTTTCATCACTTTCTGTTTCTATGAATTTGCCTATTCTTGATATTTCAAATAAGTGGAGTCACACAGTACTTGTCTTTTTTTGTGTCTGGCTTATTTCATTTAGCATAATGTGTTCAAGATTCACTCATGTAGCATATATCAGAACTTCACCCCTTTTTATGGCTGAATAATAATCCTGTGCACATTTTCTGTGCTCATCTGTGGATGGATGGACACTTGGGTTATTTTTACATTTTGGCTAGAAAAATGCTGTGGTGAACACGGCATACAGTTATCTGACCGAGTCAATATTTTCCGTTGTTTTGTGTATATATTTAGGAGTGCAACTGCTGAGTTACATCATAATTCCATGTTTAAATTTTGAAGAACCATCAAATATGTGCATGGCCTCCCCCATTATTAATGACCCCCACCAGAGTGGTAACATGTGTTACAATGGATGAATCTATACTGACACATCATTATCATAGTTCACATTAGGGTTCACTCTTGGTGATGTACATTCTGTGGGTTCGGGCAAATGTGTAATGACATGTATCTGCCATCACAGTATCATACAGAAGAGTTTCGCTGCCTGGAAAATCCTCTGTGCTCCTCCTATTCTTGCTCGTCCCTCAAGCCCTGGTAACCAGTAATCTTTTACTTATCTTCATAATGTTGCCTTTCTAGAATGTCATATGTTGGAGTCATTCAGAGTGCAGCCATTTTAAATGGGCCCCTTTCACTTGTAATAGGCATTTAAGGTTCTTCCTTGTCTTTTCATGGCTTAATAGCTCATTTCATTTTAGTGCTAAAGAATATTCCATTGTCTGGATGTACCAGTTGACCCATTCATTTACTGAAGGACATCTTGGTTGCTTCCAGGGTTTGGCAATTATGGATAAAGTGCTATAAAAACATCCATGTGCAGGATTGTGTGTGGACATAAGTTTTCGATCCTTTTGGGTAAATACAAGGAGCACGATTGCTGGATCCTCTGGTAAAAGTATGCTTAGCTTCTTAAAACATTTTGCATTCCCACCAGCAATAACTGAGAGCTCCTGTTGTTTCACATCCTCACCAGCATTTGGTGTCGTCAGTGTTCTGGGTTTGGGCCATGCTAATTGGTGTGTAGTGGTATCTCGTTGTTTTAATTTGCACTTTTCTGATGACATGTGATGTTGAGCATCTTTTCACGTACTTGCCATCTATGTGTCTTCTTTGGTGAGGTATATGTTAAGGTCTTTGGCCCATTTGTTTTTTTTTTTCTTATTGCTGAGTTTTAAGAGTTCTTTATATGTTTTGCTAATAGTCCTTTACCAAGTGTGCCTTTTGCAAATATTTTCACCTAGGCTGTGGCTTGTCTTCTCATCCTTTTCAAATTGTCTCTCACAAGGCAGAGAAGTTTTGGATTTTAATTTATTCCACCTTGTTGATTATTTCTCTCATGGATCATGCCTTTGGTATTGTATCCAAAATGTCATTGCCATACCTAAGGTCATCTAGGTTTTCTCCTGTGTTATTTTCTAGGAGTTTTGTCATTTTCCATTTACATTTAGATCTAGAATCTATTTTGAATTAATTTTTCTGAGTGGTATGTCTTTTTTTTTAGTGTGGATGTACAGTTGTTCAGCACCATTTGTTGAAAAGACTTTAAATTCTAAGTACCTTAGTGGAATTCAGCTTTTTTTTTCTAGACTTCCTTTGTACCTTTTATTTCTCTTAAGGTGCTTATTTCTATTTTGTGTTATCATATTGAGTCCCATAATCGTTAACTTTTTTTACACAGTAGGTACACAGTTACTTTAATTTTTTTTATTGATTGATTTTAGAGAGAGAGAGGAAGGGAGAAAGAGAGAGAGAGACATCAGTTTGTTGTTTCACTTATTCATTGGTCGCTCCTTGTGATGTGCTCTGATCAGAGGTTGAGCTTGCAGCCTTGGGCTATCAGGACGACATTCTGAGCACCTGAGCTACCCAAGGTCAGCTGCTTTGATTGCGGTAATAATGACTTCTGTTCCCTCAGCCCGGCTCGTCCTTATTCTTGCGCCACCAGCCCAGCTGTGGCCTCCCCTGGACGCCTCCCTTATGTCCTCCTGACCTAGTCAGTTCTAACTGCTCCCCTTGTGTCTGCCCAGCAGGCCTTGGTGTATACTGTATTCAGTACCTGTCAAGTTGGCTTTGTAACTACATCCATTTCACTAGCTTAGAGTGCTTTCAAAGCAGAAACCACATTTTAAAAACCTTTTTTCAGCTAGCGTTTGCTGAACACTTACCAAGTGCCAAGCACGAGGTTGAGAGGGTTCCATAATTTATCTCAGTCCCCGTGGACAGTCCACGAGGTCGATGCTGTTCTTACCCCATCGAACAGCTGATGAAACTGAGGGTAGCGAAGGCTCAAATCCGCACAGAGTGTTGGAAGTGTCCAACCTGAGCTGTCTCCAGAGTTGGCACCCTTAACCTTCGCCTAGCCAGTCTTCACAAAATGGTTACTCAGTAAATGTCAGAGTGACCCAGAGACTGCGTGGTCAGGAGCCAGGAGGAAAAAACAAAGCAGTGCCAGGCTGGTGGGGCACGAGGTTGGTATTGGCAGAGTGTGTGTCTTTGGGGCGACAGCCTGTGATAACTGGAATGAAATGAACTGAGCAAATCCTGAGAAATTTCATTGGGCTCAGGACTTCCAAAGACTTGCTGGCCTGAATAAAAGGGCATTAAATTGAGATTTGTAGTGGGGATGGGGTGGGGGCGGGGCAGAGAGGCCCAAGCACAGCTACATAGTAAGATCATATGACAGCCAAGGGGGTGACAGGGAAATAAGCCAACACCTTGGGCACCATGCACAGTCCATGCCAGAAAGTACAGCCCAGAAGCTAGTAAGATACAACACTTGGAGTTTCGGGTCATTAGATCATTCATTCACTCAATGAATGCACACACCGAGCACGCAATATACTCTGCCTGGCTACTGGCTCTCCTGTCTCAGGCCATCCAGCCAGCTCTCTCTTGCTCTCAGCAGTGGGGCTTGCTTTCTGATCCTCAGCCTTGCAGCTTTTAAGCTGTTCTTGCTTCCATCTGCAAAGCTACCTCTGGGCGACCTCCTGGCCAGCTCACACACCAGGCTCAGCTCAAAGGTCACCTCTTCAGAGGTGCTTTCTTTGGACACCCCACTCTTTCACATACATCACTGTCCTGATTTTACTTATAGCACTTACCATGGTCTAAAACTACTTTGTTCATTTATTTACTTGTTATTTGCCCACAAGAACTTAAGTTCCACGAGAGCAAGGACCTTGGCTGTCTTATCACTCTGAGGATACAGTGTCTCAAATTTTAGTTGAATCAGTGAATGTACCTAGTATGAAAATTTACAGAATATGGGAAATAAATGAGGAAGCCCAATATGTTAAAACAAGTTGATAAATACCCAAAAGAATTAGTGGGATGCAATTCATGCCTGTAATGAAAGGCGATGATTTACTTAAAAGAAACAGAAAAGGATGGAAAAGGAGAAAAAGCAATATTTACAGACATCTGAGGAGACAGAGAAAGGGGGCTCAGAGGAAAATTGTGCAAGAAAAGGAAAAGAAGAGATGTGATTTCATTCTGAAAGGTTTTCAGGCTGCTCACAGGCCTGCCATGTGTCTTCTCCACCGTAAGTTAGCTTCGTTGAGAGCAAGGACCATGAGTCCAGGGTGTGTCCTCAGCCCCTGCCCCAGGGGAGGCCCTCCAGAATGCATGGGTTATGCACAGAATGCATAAATGAATACTGTGTACTAAGTGTTGCCCTAGAGGACCTCATGGTATAGAAGGGAGAGGATTCACGTGCAGACTGTGATGATTAGCCCACTCAACAAACGCTCAGTGCTAGACAGGGAGATGTCCCCACCTAGAATGAGGTCACGGTCTCCTGAGGGTGACAGACAAGTGAGCCCCTGACAGAGATGTATGAAGTGGGAAACGCCCAGTCACGGAGAAACACGTGGTGCTGTGTAAACCCGGACAAGGGCCGCATAACCGAGACTTGGGGACCGGGAAAGGCTTCTGGGGAGTCGGCCAGATGGAGGGCACTGAGAGGGCCCTCTTGACAGAAGAAACGGTGAGGCGGTAGTTGGTAAGAGCAGGGAAAGTCGTAGGGTGAGGGAAAGACTCAGAGGGGCCTGATTCCAGACAGGGCCAGCCTGGCCGGAGGCACCATTCAGTTAGCAGAATGAGGCAGTGGATTGGGCTCCCCTAGGGCGAGTGTGTGGAGTGGAAAATCGTGTTGAAAGAATCCTGGAAGACAAATGGTGGAAGAGGAACCGGTGAGATGAAGACCAGCAGGAGGAAAACCAGAGTAAAAAGCTCCATGTCTATTACCCGCTGTGTAACATGGCACGGCAATACTGGGCCATGCAGTTTTGGCTGGTATTTTGTCAACATTCTCCGTTTCCTAGTCTCAAGGAACATCTTGAAAGTGAAAGAACGCTTCTAAATATTAGTCTTAGAATTCTGAGATTCTGTGTTTTCTCCAGGCCGAATTAATCCTCCCTGATGGAGCCCCCAGAGTAAATCTCTATGCCCTCTTTTTATAAATACGTGAATTACCCTGGTCTTTGTTACTGGTGGTGTCTCTTCTCCAGAGACATGGGGAATTACTGACACATTTATTTCCCAGCTCTTAGCAATGTAATAATTGATCCTGAACAAGTTACTTAACTTCTGTAAGCCCAACACCTTCCTTTGCAAAACGGGAATTACACGCCTTTCATAAGGAAAGTATATAAAGTGCAAAAAGAGTGCTTAACACAGCGTCAGGATTATCATCAGTGATGAAAAAATTGGTACCTACTGGTTTTAAACAGCTATCCTGAGGCCAGTGCTTTTGATCCGTGCATATAAGGAACGTTCTGTCCATCTCCTGAAACCAAGAACCTCCTCGTTGGGTCAGTTTGAGAGCCAGATAAAAATCTCAGCTCAACAGCTACTCCCAACCCGCAGCGGGCCAAGCCTCGGTTTGGCCCTTCCAGAGACTACAAATCCCAGTATGCCGCGCTCTTCCGCGTTGGCCCGCAAGTGGGTACCGCTCCGGGCACCGCCTCCGCTCTTTGCTCCCGCCGCTGGCGCGCGATGGAGACCGGGAGCTGGTTGCTCGGCAGCGAGTTCGAGGATTCGGTGTTTGAAGAGGGGCGGGAGCGGCGGTCCGGACCGCCCGCGTCCTACCGCGCCAAGTTCTGCGAGCCGCAGGTAGGCGGGCAGCAGGGCGGGGCCTCGGGGCCTCACTCGGCCCCCAGTCCTCACCCCGGTTCCCGGGCCTCGTCTCTCGCGGGTCCCCGTAGGATCGTCTGCCGCCTCCCCGGATTGCCTCTCTGCCCACCCTGGCCTCCCCGTTATCCATGACCACCACTAGGAACGGGTGTCTCCGGAGCCCCACTCCGGAAGCCCGGCCCCCTCTGCCCCCGAGGGCGCAAGGAAACCCCCGGGCAGTCCGCGTTGAGCGTGCTCGCCCCAGGTGTTGGGCAGGTCCGGCTCCAAAATCTGCAACACCTCCACGGGCGTGCTGCACGCAATGTGCAGCCGGGCAGTCAGCGCCCCAGAAGCGCGCCGCCGCCCACTTCTGACATCTTAGTGTCGTCTGCCCCCCGGACGGCGACGTCCTCCCTCCTCCCAGGAACCCGTCCTTGTTCGGTGACTTACCCCTGCCGGCGCTATTCTCGCTCTGATGGCCAGAGTTGCTCAGTTGTATCCATTTCTCAAGGCGCGTCTTAAACGCTGCCTCCTCGGAGGAGTCTCTTCTGATTCCCCTTTCCAACCCCAAATGTTTGTCTTTGACTCCTTTCCTCCCCCTCCGCCCCGCCCCCACCCTTTTAGCTTCTGTTAAGACACCTGCTAGTATCCCATAAAGCTCTTAGACCCTGAGTGCTAAATGATCACCTGGGAGTGGGCGCTTACCTTAATGCCTTCCCCAGTGCCCAGCAGGTTTTGTTCATTATGGGAACTCCGTGAATACTTGGAATTAGTATTTGTATTACAGTCGAGCCATAAACAGTGTGGGGCTAGGGCTCTGAACCCTGCACAGTGGAAAATCCATGTATAAATGTTGACTGCCCCCAAAACCTTACTAATAGCCCACGGTTGACCAGAAGCCTTACCAACAAAATAGTTGATTAACACATATTTTGTATGTTATATATTTTATAACCTGTATCTTACCATTAAGAAAGCAAGAGAAAAAAGTTGTTAAGAAAATCATAAGGAAGAGAAAATACTTTTACAGTCCTCATTGAGGAAAATCTGTGTGTAAGTGAACCCACACAGCTCCAGCTCGTGTTGTTCATGGTCCACTGTATTGATTGCATGTGTGAATCTCATCTCACCAATAATAGCTACTGCTTATCAGAAACTTACCTGTTCCAGGCACTGTGCTGGGCTTCTTTACATGTATTGTTTCATTTTTCCTTACCACCATTGTACTTACAGATGCCAGGCACTCAGTAATTACCGAGTTGCACTTTTGTTTTATTTCACCTACCTTGTCTCCGTAGCACATGCAGTCTTTCAGAAGTTACCTTTAGTATTGACCAATGTACACTCACAACAGGATGCACTTGGGAAGTCATGTTGTAGAGCAGGGGTGTCCAGCCTCTTGGTGCCTCTGTGCCACACTGGAAGAAGAAGAGTTGTCTTGAGCCACTGGTTAAATACATTGTGACACGTAATCATAAAAAAATCTCGTGTTTTAGGTAAATTTATGGTTTTGTGTTGGGCCACAATCACAGCTGTCCTGGGCTGCACGTGGCCCGTGGGCACCCCTGTTGTATAGCACTAAAAGCCATGGTTCTGAGATAGGGCCTCTGAATTCCAGTGTGGGGTGTATTTCCCCCTTGCCTTCCAAGGTGTCAGTTCCTTATTTGTCCTTTGGGAAGAATAATACTTGCTGGCTCACAGGCTTATTAGGAGAGTAAAATGAGAGAGTACTTTGTCAGGTATTCGATAATAAACACAGGTACTTGATAATACTTACCAAGTGAAACCCCAAAATCACTCTTCTTTAGAATGTGTTTGGTGTGTGATACTGCCCATAAGCTCAGAGAGACCGGACTACGGTGCTGTTGGCTTCCCTCAATGGGCTGGAAGGTTTCTGTTGTGCCTGCCTGCCTGCTCAGGTTCGATGTGGGACCAGAGGTGTGCCTTTAGCCCTTCGTCTCTTAGTCCCGCCCCTGTTCACGGCCCTGCCCTCCCTCCTCTGATCAGAAAGGGGCATTAAAAACCATCCCGTGTCTGAATTCTTGTGGGCATGCAGACTACGTGGGAGAATAAAAATAATCATTTGAAAATCGGTTTCGCTGGATCATTTCCCATGTGGGTAATGGAAGTTGGATGGAGGTCTGCAGTTGTGTCGTTGGTGTTCAAGAAGTTGGGGTTGACCCCGTAACCTGATACCATATGGGGCTGAGAGCGGTGGAGTACAAAGGGAAATTACGGGCTCAGGACCCAGACTCGTTGGGTTACACGGCACTTCGGGGAGAACAGAAGGAACGGTGGGTACTAACTAGCCTTCTCCACCTCGATGGATCAGGCTAAGGAGAGAAACGGTTTTACTATGGTAACGGAGGGGGGGGGGGCGGGGCTGTGATGCCTGGGCAGCTGTTCTGCAAGTGGAACCAAGCAGTTCTGACATGGCGGTGGGTGGAACCAGCGGGAATGCAGTTGTGTTTGGATTCATGGTCCTGACCTGGGACTAGGCTTCATTCAGCCTGCAGGCGTTTTACTGAAACGGGGTGGGGGTGGGGTGAGAGATTTGTTGGCTACTGGAAGAACTGGCACACTGTATGCTTTCTGTCATCTGAGCTTTTATTTTCTAACAATTGAATTCTTTATTGTGATATCTAAATGTTCCTGTTCTGTATTTCTATTCTCATCTGAGCATTCTTAATAATCAAAAAATCTCAGCCCCACTTTGTTTTCTATGCATGGGGTTTAAATCAGTAGAAAGGCGGGTAAAATATTCCAGATGGGCTTTTCCTGACACTTCTCGCAGAGGTCTTTGGCATTTGATTACATGGAAGCCTCCTTTGAACCTAATTATCATCCCCTCCTTGCTTAGCTCCTACTTGTTGCTTTTACATTTTCATAATAGCTCTGTACAATGATAATTCTTCTTTCCTATGTACTTTCCAATGAGAGTTGCCGGTCTCTACTCCAGCTACTCTAAAATGTCTCTACAAGAAAGCATATCTCTGTCTAAAGAACCAGCGGGGATTCTGCTAGTTAAACGTAGGTTCCCAGGCATCACAAAAACCCCACATTGAAAATGCTGCGGGAGACGGAAGCAGGCTCAGAGACGCAGAGAGCAGACTGATGGTGCCAGAGGGGAGGGGGCTGGGTGAAGAAGGTGGAGGGATTGAGAAGCACAAACTGGTAGTTACAGAGTAGTCACAGGGATGCAAGGCACAGCATAAGGGATAGAGGGAATGACGTGCTAATAACCGTGTAACCTGCCAGGTGGGTACTTGGATTATCAGGGGAGCACTCTGTAAATTACTGTATTTTCTGGAGTATAAGACGCACTCCCAAATTTGCGAGGAAAGGGAGGGAGTGTCTTATAGTTCGAATGTAGCCTGCCTGGCTCACTGTGGCGAGGGTGGGGGGCGGTGGCAGTGGGGCGGAGTCACAGGGGCCGGAGCAGGTTCGCTGCTGCATTTTCCTGGGCGGGGGTGGGGGGGTGGGGTGGGGGGGTGCGTCTTATAGTCCAAAAAATACAGTATGTAAATGTCCAACCATTGTGGTGTACACCTGAAGCTAATACAAAATAATATTGAATGTCAACTGTAACTGAAAAACAAAATTTAAAACATTAAAGTTAAGAAAGAACGTGCTGTGGATAAAGCCATATACTTTCGCGTGCCTTTTTCCATCGAGTTGAGAGGCATCGTATCATTGGCATGTCTGTTCATTGTGATCATTTTAATAAAAAGAGGGCCGTCGTTAATACTGTCACGCTTCGATGCCAGGTCTTTTCCTCTGAGTCTCATCCTAAAGAAGCGTGTCTTCTTTGAGGCCTCATCATTGATTTACGGGAAACTGTTTGCATGAGGTGGGAAGGGCACAGCTTCGTTCTGTATAATACGCTATTTTCACAATTTTTAGTGGTTTTGCGAGGAAGCGGAGAGCAGTGACGACGCTGAAGCTCTAACTATCAAGAAATTCAGAGGGGACCTGGCCTACAGACGGCAGGACTACCAGGTAGAGGTCGACGTGCGTGAGACCTCTCGCGCTGCCGGCCGCGGGCTCTGGTTCTGCAGGCTACGGAGCGTTTCAGGGGCGGGCTACTGAGCGAGGGGTGTTGTTTGTGAAGACGAACTTACCGTTTGTGACCTGCGCCTGTCACCTTAGAACCCCAAGTTTCTGGCCTTTTCGATAAGGCTCTATATAATTTGTTTCGTTTCTTGTAGCTTCAATATAGGGATCTTTTGTGGACCCAATAAGTTGGTTTCCCCAGGCTCTGTATCGCCTCATTATGTGGGAGCCTCTAGCACGGATACCTCATACCTCCTAGTGCCACAGAAGCAAAGCGCCCCAAAATGAGAAAAGGGAGGAACTAGCAACTAGGTACCAGCTTTACATACAGATCTCACTTCATCTTCATGAAGAGTCCTGTCCTTATCTTGCTGGTGAAGAGGTTACATACGGTAACAGCAAGCTAGTGGCAGAACCAGGATTCAAAGCCCTGGTCTATCTGACTCCAGAATGTTCTTCCTACTATCCTCTGGTGTTTTCTATGGCAGTAGGGATTATATCCTCCAGCCATTTCTTGTCCGCCCTTCAGAAGAATAGTCCTGACAGACCCTCAGCGAGTCTTCCTTAGCTCATGGTGGGGGTCCGTTACGACATTGCCTCCTGCCCGGGAACAAAATTCATTGCTGTAACTGAATCCTTTCTTCTACTGTGTTTTCTGCCTTTCATTTCATCCTCTCTCTTCATTTCCTCTATTTAACAAATACTTGCCAGAAAGCCCTGCAGGAATATTCCAGTATCTCTGAAAACCTGCCACCGACGAATTTTGCCATGAAAAGGGACGTGCAGGAAGGCCGGGCCCGGTGTCTGGTGCGCCTGGGGAGGCACGCGGAGGCCCTGGAGATCGCTGCGGACTTGGTGAGTGGCTTCCTGTGTTTTCCTAGGAGGGCGGAATGTTTTCTAAGAAACAAAACAAACACCAACTTCTTGCTAACAGCAAAACCTGCGAGTTTGGAGAAGCAGAAGAAACTGCCAGTGGGATAAGACCTTTATTATGATGAACTGTTTGGAGCTTTAGACATAATCATGTTCTTGTAATATTTTTCCTGTGTTATGCTGAAAATTCTGCATGGCCTGAAAATCTCATTTACAAAGGTTTTATGTTTTAAAGATTTTATTTATTTTTAGAGGAGAAGGGAGGAAGAAAGAGAGGGAGAGACACATTAATGTGTGGTTGCCTCTCAGGCATCCCCAAATGGGGACTTGGCCCACAACCCAGGCATGCGCCCTGACTAGGAATTGAACCGGTGACCTTTTGGTTTGTAGGCTGGAGCTCAATCCACTGAGCCACACCAGCCAGGGCAAAGGTTTTATTTTTGTTAGGAGTAAATACTGAATGGAAGGATCATCAGTGATCTGTTATGTTCTTTAGATCCTTTATTTTTGAAATTTTCTACAACGAACATGTATTACTTTTGTAAAGAGGGAAAAGGGTTACCAAAAAATGGCTAAATATACTAAGCCAAGCTTCAATAGTCCTTTTTTTCTTAAATGGAATTTGCAGAATTTTTTATTGAGGGATAAAGAAAAGCAGTTCTTTGCAATTCTAGATTCTGCCAGTCTTTGTTTTCAGATTAAGGCATTTATGGTTTACTTCTGCGGTTATTTATGTAAATTTTAAATGGGGTCTGGTCTTCAGTAGGCCGTTCCTAGTTTACAGATGGCCGGTGTTCTTCCTTAGAGGGAACTAATGAGGTGCCACGTCACCGACGGTGAACCAGGCGGACCTAGTCAGCCAAGGGTCAGCCTAAAGTATGTGCACAACGGAAGTGCCCTCCTTCTCGCAGACTGGGAGAAACCCCTCAGCGCGCTCACCCAGGGGCTTGTTGCAGGGACCTCCGCCTCTGGCAGTGAGAGGAAGCCCTGGGGGTAATTGTCTCCAGCCCATGGCAAACAGCTGTGCTTCCTTCTTTCTTTTTCCCCCCTCTGCCGATTGTGGGTTAATTCTTAAGCTGGAAAATAAGATTACCTCATTAAGGAAGCATATGGCATGAACTTGGTAGGATTTAGGTGTTTATTCTTAGTCTCCACAGTTTACAAATTAACAGCAACTTCAGCCCTTCTGGTACCTTCTGCTAGGTGTTGGTCCCCGTTCCTCCCTTGCTGCTCTGCTCTGTGTTCCCGTCACCTCCCACTTCCTCCCACCTCTTGTGCATCACAGCTGTGCTCTGTCCTTCCTGCCCAGACCCTGAAGGCAGTGGCGGCTAGATTCGTGTCCGGGGCAGGTCCCCTCTTCTGCGGCTCAGACAAAGATCTGTTGCCAGTCAGCAGGCGCCAGGTCTCCAGGGTTCGCAGTGGTTACCGGGCAGGAAGAGGACCAGTCCGAAGATCTTCAGCTCCCCTGTCAGGACTTTGAGAATTATCATCAGGCTCCTGGGCACCCCATCGGGGGAGGACTGTTGGGGTCGGGGACGGGCAGCGTAGGCTGGTGGGTCTCACCCCTTCCTCTGGGTCTCTTCACATGATCTCAATGAACCCTGCCTGTTTGCATGGTTTTCTTTCCTGGTACCACATGTTTTGTTTTTAAATGTATTAAGTAAGGCCCTGGCTGGTGTAGCTCAGTGGATTGAGCACGGGCTGTGAACCAAAGGGTCACCGGTTCGATTCCCAGTCAGGGCACATGCCTGGGTTGTGGGCTAGGTCCCCAGTGGGAGCCATGTGAAAGGCAACCACACACTGATGTTTTTCTCCCTCCCTCTCTCCCTCCCTCCCTTTCCCTCTCTAAAAATAAATAAAACCTTTAAAAAAGTTAAAAAAATAAATTTGTACATAACAGCCTCTACCCCAACACACACTGCTTTCTCAGTATGAAAATGTTTTTAAACAGCATAAATCACTACAGACTGGTTGTACAAGAAAGGTAACATTTGCGTTACACAATACTGTCCCTACAATAAAGGAAAGACATGAGGAGGTGTTACTCAACAGTTACTGAACACCTGTCATGGGGAGGTGCCATGCGCTGTACTAGGAGTTCAGCAGAGAACTGAGCCCCTTGTGGAAGTTGCTGGTCTGTTGGAAGGATGGAACACCGAACGAAAGCAATGATAAATCAGATGAGATCTGCCACTGGGCAGATACAGTGCGACCAAACGGGCTGCGTGGGGCCTCCTCCCCGCTCTTTTCACTCAGTGTAAGACCACTGAGAAACCTCCCCAGCGCTCACTGTGGGCGTGCTCGTCCCTCTGGGCCGCGGATGGGGTCCTTGCCCTCGTATTTCTTACTCGGCGTGGTTCTCGGTGGCAGCCTGACTTAGAGACTAGATGGCCAGGTTTTCCTTTGCCCTAAAAATCAGCTGAAAGGTCTTGTAGTCTGCCGTCTGCTCTCCAGACTCCAACTCATGGGGAAAAAAGCCTTGTTTTCTCTAACCCCCAGGCTTTTGCCATATGGCATGTTAGGCAAGAGGTGGTGGCTCTGGTGGTGGAGACTTGAAAAGGATTTTCTGGCCTTGGTCGTAGTTAGCAGGGAAGGCATTTGGATTTGATTATGATGCAGCATGAGACACACAGAGCTTCAGGCTGCCTTGCTTAAGATGTCTAAGCCAGGGGAAATTTGGACATAGAGCTCATTTGAATTCTCAAGGAAATTGCCGTTTGGACATTTAGAAGGCCTGGAGTATTCAAGTGGAACCGTTAGCCCGCGGTGCAAAGGGTCGGCTCGGGTCTCTCAGCTGTCTGGCTGAAGATGGTAAAGACCATAATAAAAATGGGAACCAAACTGGCTTGTGCATTTCTGGTGCTGAACTTCGCCAGACCACGGTCACGTGAGCTGTGTTCCCGCTGTGACACTGGGCTGTGTGGGGCGACCGGCGTTTGCCTTGCTGGGTGGCGTGCGTTGCCCCAGGTTTACGGCTTCACACCGAGAGCTGCTGAAAGATGTTTTGTTCACTCTGCTTGTGTAGCCGTTGAAAGATACTGCCGGCTCGTAACATACCCAACCTGGGTGTTTAGGAACCTCCACTATTGTATAGAGAACGTTCCGCAGTTTCATGCTTTCGACCTCCTTTCTGCTTCTCAGGAGACCAGAGCGACCAACACCGACCACTTAACCACCGCGCTCCTCCTGCAGCTCGCCGTCCGGGCGGGTGGGCCGGGCTCGTGGGCCGCCGTCTTCTGCCTGCAGAAGCTGATTTCTCTGCACCCTTTCAATCCTTGGACCTGGGGCAGGCTGGCCGAGGCGTACCTGAGTCTGGAGCCAGACCTCTCGGCGTCACCTGCGTCATCATACACACAGAACAGCCACACCTCAAGTGACGAAACGACCAACTCCTCCTCCCCACACTCAGGAAAAGACTGTCTTTTGTGTTGCCCTGAGACGTTGCCTGAGAGCCCTGTGTTTTCCATGGAAACGAGCAGCCGGAATAAGCAGGGGAATGAGAACGCTCTTCCTAGTGTTCAGGACGCTGCAGCCGCAAAGAGGGAAGCAGCGTTGCTAGAGACTCGGGTGAAAGCGTGTGCCTCTCTCATACGAACCAGGTAAACGGGCAGGGGGTTGAACCATGGACGTGATACTGCGCTCAGAGTGAAAGTTTTATTTTTCTAACTGCAACTTTCAACAAGTTCTGGGCTAGACGATGAGCATATGTTCTTGAGGTTTTCCCCTATGGGCTAGACGAACCCCTTGGGCATGTCCTTTTAGTGTGTAGGATTGAGAAACAAAACCGTGTGTGCTCACAAATGCAACTTGTACTATTATCCGATAAAAAGTTAAAGTGGAAAACACTGAAATTAGGAAAAGAAATGTATGAAACATTGACAAAGGGGGAAGTGGTATTTTCAACAAGGAATTTTTCACTCCCGTTCCGCGGAAACCTGAAGAAGAAAGTCTGCTCTTACGTCTGAGTCACTGTTAGTAATGTGAGTAAACGAAGCTTCGTTTGTTCTGCAGAGCAGGCCCGTGGCTGAGGGACACCACGCACTTCCAATCCACAGTGTGGAAGAGTTCGCGGGACGGGCCACGCACGAGACCTATTCTGTAACTTACGGGAGAAACAGACTCGCTTAGGTCTCAAGTGGTACCAGGAAACAGAGAGTTGGTTTTCTTTTTTAACTCTGGAGAATTCGAGAAATACTCATTAACAGACTTACTGAGGATGGAATCTGTTTGGCAGATTTCAGACTAGTCAGATACTTGTTTAGTGTCGATTCTGTCACTAACTCAGAAGTGCCGTGGATTACAGCTGCGCGCCGGGCCCATGCTGGGGGCTGGGGTCCCGAAGACGTGCGGGAAGGGCCCCTTTCCCCTCCCATGACGCACTGTGTCGAGGAAGCCCTGGGGAGGCCCAGCGGCCAGCAGCACAGTCGGGAGCGGCGGGGTGGTCGGGGGTTGTCCAGTGCAGCAGGAGGGAGGAAGCCTTTCCAGAGGGAGCGATGCTCCTGCTGAGTGCGGCGGGGAGCCCGTGGCGGCTGGCTGCGTAGACACCTGTGTGCTAGGTGTTCTACATGCGTGACTTCACACTACTCCTCCTCACCCTGTGGTGGATGTCGGACCCCGCTGGAGAGACCAGGGAGCTAACTCAGAGTGATGCAACAGTGGCACCGCTGTGGGGTGACACCAGGATTTGTGCCCCGGCCTTTGACCCCAGAGCCTGTGTTCTTTCCAGAACACCTTGCCATCACCAGGGACTGTTCCCCACGGGAGCAGAGGCAGCTGGACAAAGGGAAGGACAGCACAACCCCAGGGGTGAGAGGGCGGCTATGGCAGGGTTGTCATGTGGTGTGGCAGGGAGGACAGCATTGGTGTGAGCCGGAGAGGCGGGCGTAGGCCACGAGGCTGGGGTAGCGCAGTCACATGGGAGGCAGGACTTTGGAGTCAGACCTGGTATTAAGGAGCCTAATAAGTTGTTGTCATTGAGCAGTGAGCCCGGACCCCTCCACTCTCTCACTGTCCTGCCTTGCACAGATTCCTGAAACTCCCTCACCTCCATTCCCTCATCTTGACAGATGGAGAAATGGGGGAGCTGCCCCCTTCACGGGGCTGTGAGAATTAAAGTATTCGAGAAACTTACTGCAGCGCCCATAAGCGGTCAGCACTTGGTAAATGTTGTACTTCTGTTTTTGTTTTCATTAGCGTAAGATATTAAGTATCATCTTAAAGTCTGGTCCTTGTGCTGCAGGCGGGAGGAGTATCGGAAGGCTTTAAATGTTGAGTGCGGTGATGGGGCTGAGACCTCTCGAGAGGCCTGGTGGCTGCAGGGAGGTGTTGGCGGGAGGAGTTGGGGGCTGGGGACTCCAGTGAAGGGACCGTGGGACTGCGGACTGGACTGACCGGCGGGTGGTAATGAGGCCCCAACCTAGGAGCGCACAGGGGCAGTGAAAAAGGAAATGGATGTCTCCACAGGATGCAACAGGTGGGACCTGGCGACCAGCCGAGCGTGATGGGGTGGGGAGGGGAGAGCTAGGGAGTCAGAGACGACTCGGAAGAGCTGACCTTGGGTGGACGGGCGGAGGTGGTGCCTTTGCCCGAGACAGGATGAGACAGGACAGGTGAAGGAAGAACAGAGCTGGTTTAGGGTGCAGGTAGCCGCCTGTAGGACATCCAACTGGAGCTTTCAGAGCTCAGCAGGGCGCCAGAGATTCAGGAGTTTGGGGAGAGAGAGTGACAGTCAGGCGGCAGTGAGGAGTGGGGTGGGGCCGATTCCAAGGAGGATTGGAAGGGTAGGAGGTCATTCGTGACCTTTGAGAAGGCACTTTCTGAGTGATGGGGTGGCATTGCAGGGGGTGAGGAGTGATGAATGTGAGATAGAAGGAGCGCGTGCAGGCTGTGTTCTCAAGTAATTTCAGAAACAGGAGGGAGAAAGCAAGTTCGGAAAAGGTAGAGTCTTCCAGAGGCCAGGTAGGCAGTGCAAACAGGTTAGAATGGAACAGGGTGAATGTGAGTTGGGTCAAGTTCTTTGATAAAACTCCCCAGTGACGTCCCCTCGCCCTTATGCAAATTCCACATTTCTTTCCGCCACCCGTGAGGTCCTGGGTGAGTCGGCCCTACCTTTCTCCTCATTTATTCCAGGTTTTCCCTTCTTGGCTGTGTTCCTCCCACGGGGATCTTTGTGATTTTCACACATGTTAAGGAGCTCTTGCGTCAGAGTCCCTTCCCCCTCCGTGGCCTCCGTCCCCAGATCTCAAGCCTAGCTCCTCGGCCTCAGCGCTATCTCCGAAAAACCTTCCTTCCTCCACTGTCCCCCCTGGAGTAGGCACTGCATCCACCCGGTCTTGGGTTTTTCGTTCATAGCGGTCCTCACTGCCTGAAATTTTCTTACTATTTTTGCTTTTTCCCCTTCCCGGCGGTGAGGCAGGAACCCGTCTGCTCTGCTCCCCAGCGTCTCCCAGTGCCCACAGCGGAGCGCTGGGGTGCATCCCTCAAGGCACGAACGAGGGAGCAGGAGAGCTGAGCGCTTCTGCATGTAGCAGTAGGGACCCGTGAGGCCTGAGGGAAACTGGGAAAGCCTGCACACTCAATATTTAGAAGGACAGGGAGGGAGCCCCGTGAGGCGGACAGGAGGGAGGAGGAGGGCCGAGACCGGTTCTAGAACATCACGACGGGGACGTTAGTGGCGAGGCTGTGGCAAAGGGGCTGTTAGAGGGTCCTCAGAGGTCTGGCCCTGCTTTGGGGGAGGGAAGCGAGCTCGAGCCTCTCATTCGCCCTTGCGGTCACGGTGCTGTGGACTCAGGGCCGTGGAAGGGTCGCCGAGCACTGACTGCAAAGGGAGACGCCCGACGCTCTGGGGAGGAGCCTTTCTTTCACTGGGAGGCTTGTCCTTTCGCTGCTCGTCACTCGTGCTTTCGCTCACTTAACTCCTGCCCGACGCCCTTTGCAGTCCTGCTCTCTAAAGGTTTCTTTGAGAAGCTTTGGTCTACGCAGTTTTGGAAAGACGACTCGCCCGTGTAAAGCCGGGTGCTTTGATCGGAAGAAGCAGCTTTGGGGCTGCAGGTGAGGGTGCGTGCCTGCTCGTGAGCCCCGCGGACTCGTGCAGCTGACCACCTGGGATGCACGTGAGCGTTTCCGCACCGCGCTCCTTTCTGGGGACCTCTGCACCCCAACTTCTCTGTCTTTCAGGCTTTTGCTTCAGCTCTCCCAGTCTCAGCAAACATCCTTCGCTCTGGAGAGGAACCTGAGGACCCAGGAGGACATTGAAGATAAAATGAAAGGGTTCAGCTTCCACGAAGACACTTTGCTGCTGATAACGGAGGTGAGTCTTCCCCTAGGGTTTATGTGAAACGAAGGCATCATGGATACTTTTCCTGGCTCCGGTACCATTTTTTTATTAAAAAAATTAAATGTTAGCCTTTTAGATCTCTAAAAATAAAAGAATAAAAAGGCAAGGTCAGATCTCGCCCGCTGAAGGACTCTGTGTCCTTCCTTACCCGGCCGCTGGTCGCTCCATCCCTGAGAGCGGCCCCCTCATCACCCTCTCCTGCAGCTGGAAGGCAGGGCTGTGCGTCCTTCACGGGGTGGGTCTCGGGAGCCCCTTGCCTGCCTGCCTGACCATCGTAAGGTCCGGTCACTGCTTTTCCAGCCGAACAAACGAACGAATGACTGCTGGCGTTTGTGCAGGGCTCCTGGACGTTTTCCCCTTTGCTGGTCCCCAGAGCAGCCCGTGGGACCGGCGTGGCGGGGCGGAGGGGTCTGACCTGCCCGCGGTCCGGTTTTACGCGGCAGAGCCGCACTGGCCTCCCTCCAGCTGCAGGCCCGCCGTCCGGCTGCCCCACCCTGCTGCTGCCGCGGTGGCGGCGGAGACGGTCAGATGGCAATTTTTTAAACCTTCATTAGCTTTTAAAAAAGTACACTGTTGAAATGTCTTAAGGTGGCATTTGGAGATTATCCGTGTGTTTAAGTTGTTCACTCTGGTTCCTTTGAGTATCTAGTTGAAACTTGACAGCTCGGGGACTTTTGCCGTGAGAATAACTCTCTATCCATGTACACCCCGACGTGCTCTCAAGGAATCCTCACTGCGAATGAATGTTCGACTGCCAGCTGCTGCCTCCCCTCCCCGAGCTAAGTCCCGCTTGGCTCCTCTTCCTCTCCGGGACCGCACCGCCCTGTCGGGCCTCTCGGGCCTCTCCCAACCTTCCCCCTCCACGGGCTCTTTCCCCCGGGCCCACAGACACGCACAGAGCGCCCGAGTCTCCCGAGTGCACCGCGGCCTCGCCCCAGTCTGTCTCCTCCGCGTTCCTACAGGCCCGTCCCTGTGGACCGCTCTCTCTCTGTTTCCTCTTCCCTTCTCCTTGAGAGGCTGCACTGGTCTGCTCTTCTCCCGCGTTTCCTACCGTCCCTCTGCCTCTTGAGAACCACTGGCTTCCTCTGTGTCTCAAGTGACGCGTGCCTGAGGTCTCCCCGAGGTTCTGTCCCCTCTGCCTCTCCCCCACAGCACGCGTGACCGCGCTCACGGTTGCGGTTGTCCCCTCTGGGTGATCACCCTCCGGCCTGCGTCTCTGCTCCCTCCCCGGGAACACATGTGTCCCATCTCAGGCTGGTCACCTACTGGGCGACTAATCTGAGGTGATTATTGATTATTCCACTGGCACTTCCGGTACAAATGTCTAAAACGGAACTGCTCATCAAAACACGTCCCTTCTTCATCAGTATCTGGCATACTCGGCCATCAGTGAGTATTCGAGAGAGCTGGAGAGAACCATTTTTTCATCGTATAGATTTAGTTTTTTCCATTGATCCTCTGTCATTCTTTTTTAAGCCCAGACCTGGAGGCTTAACTAGCTGTGGGCCCCTACCGCTCTGTTCGCCTCTAGACAGACACAACCCCCGCCCCCCCCCCGCCCCCCGCCCGCCTTTCCCTCCCCTTCCACCACCAGCGCCCCAGCCCTCCCCACCTCCTGTCTGACTGTGGGCCACCTCCTGGCTCTCCCTCCTTGCTTCCTTAATCTCTCCCCTGAGATCTGCCTCCAACACTGCTGCCGACTTCCTTTTAAAACAGGGCCTGAAGGGCTGGGGGAGAAGGAGCAGGGGTGGAGAAGTACAGGTGGGTGGTCCCAGAACAGTCACGGGAGGGGCAGGACAGCGCAGGGGATGCAGTCCGCAACACGGTAATGACTGTGGCGCCGGGTGGGCGCTGGACTTGTGTGGGGATCACTTCTCAAATTACATAATTGACCACTAAGCTGCGTACTTGACAGTGGATGATATCGAATGTCAACTGTAATTAAAAAATAAAGTTATACAAACACACATTGCTTTGACCATGTTACCTGCTAATGTGAGACCATTAGCTCAGTCAGGTCTAGTTTAAGGCCTTGATCATAGGCCTTCCAGAGAGCGCCCCAAAGTTATAACCTAGTAATTCGCTGCGCAAATCTGTGCCTGTGTCTAATAAACTCATCTGGGCCTTCCTGCCTCCGCCTGCTGACTCCTCCCACCCCGAAAGACGAGGCGAAATCCACGTCCTCCAGGGAGCTTTCCCAGCACGTCCTGTTCCTTCTCCCTCACCTGAGCGCAGAGAGCGCGATTGCTTGAACAGATAGCTCTTTAGCCGCCCCTCCCCCCACCCCAAAAGCAAGCATTTGTCTTAAGCTTGTGGGTGTTTTATCAGAGGAACTAACACAGAAGCTGAGTCTGATTCTGACCAGTAGGGAGCAGTATTGTGCTTTCAGAGGGCAAGCGTGCTTCTTAAAGCTCTGAGGTTGCTGTGGTAACCTTTCTGGAAGGATTGAGTGTCTCTGGGTCATCAGGGGAGGAGGGGCCCCTCTCCTTGCTTGACTTCCTCGGGGAGCTTCTAAGAGAAAGAATCTGTGTGTCCCCCTCCCGCTCCCAGCAGCTGCGTTCTCCCCACGCCCTGCTCCTCTGTCATTTCTCGGGGAGGGAGTGTCACTCGCCCCTGTATTCTCGCCAAGAGGAGGCTCTCTGAGCTGTGTTCGCCTTGGCTTTCCTGCAGGCTGACCAGCGCCCCTGCGGCGCTAATGCTTCCGTGGTTTGTGCACTCGGGGACCGACGCGGGGTGGAGGGACTGGAAACACGGATGGCGTTTACCCACCGAAGACTAGCCGAGTCCCATGTGCCATGTCTGGTGCCTCTTTCACAGGGTCAGGCTTTCTCCCTCCTGCTGCAGGTTATGGGAGAAGACATCGTCCCAGAAAAAATAAAGGAGGAAGTTCACAGCGAGGTGAAGTGCGTGGGCTCTGCAGCCCTGAGCGCTGTGGTGTTGATTGCATCTTCGAAAGAATTTGAAGACAAGTGGTTCGGGAGGATCAAAGACCACCTCTGTTCCTCGGAACGTCAGCTCCACGCACAGATGCCAATCTCCGCTCCGTAGCCCCCCGGAAAACAGGACATCCAGCACGGCTCCCTGTCCTTGTGGACCTCAGAGAGAATCCGCTAATCATGGCTAATCATGGAATATAGTGGACTGAACACGATTATTTATAAAAATGGCTTATCTCCCACATTCTTTCTTCGGTGTCCAGTTTCTTCATTTTTGTTGTCTTTTTAGATTTTTGCCATTCACTCATCTTGGGCCTCCTACCCTTAGAAGTTCCCTGTTGGGAAAGTCTGTAAAAGAGGCTTTTAGATTTTATAGTATTTTAAAAACAGTTACTACCTATAACCAGCAGCGTAAGTATTCACAGTGTTTACGTAAAGTCGTCAGCAGTGACCAAGATGGTCGAACTGAAGGCTGTGTCAAGGTCAGGCAAGGCTCTGGGGCTCGACCGAGCCTGTCAGCAGGCGTGTTAGCCCGTCCGTTTCGTGGGCGCCGCGGAGACGTGGTGGTCCGTGGCAGTGTCAGCCCCAGCGCGCCGCACCACTCAGCTTGCCTCGAGCCCCCACAGGGGTGGCGCCTGCGGGCTGTGGAGCCCGGCTCACCGGGAGGGTAGCCCGTTCTTTCAGTCCCAGGGTGTGACGAGTCACAGTCACGACCTGTAACATCCTGTCCCCATACACGGGGCCGTGGCCTCACTCCGGTTATCTGGGGTAGAACTCCAGTTATCCCTTACAGAAGTGGAGTTCAATAATACACTGAAAACTCCGTCAAACGTCCCGCGCAGCTTTTATTTTTCTCAGCAGGGGGAAGAGAACGCCCGCCCCAGGCGCAAAGGTCACATCCTCTGAGCTTCCTCCGCCCCGCCGCCGCTTCAGCCCTCCCAGGCCCCTCCCCACCGCGGACTGCTCTTAGTGTGAGCGTCATTCGGCTCCAAAGCAATAGACCGGTTAATAGCCATCTCAATGTCTAAGAACGATTAAAAAGGATGGAAACTCCCCAGCGGCTTCCCTTTGCCCTCCATTCACTCACTGAGTCTTTAACGGTCCCTTCTTGAACTCCCATGACGTGACGAGCATTGTGTGGTTGCCACGGAGACGTAGGTGAGCCTGAAGTTTAGGGCCTGTGTGTTGATGGCCCTCGGGACAGAGCCCCAACTGGACTGTGGCTTTACCATCAGCCTGTGGCTACCCAGGGCTTCGTTTCCTGCCCCCACCTTTAAAATTTTTTTATTTATTTTTAGAGAAGGAAGGGAGGGAGAAAGGGAGAGAGAGAGAAACATCAATGTGCGGTTGCTGGGGGCCGTGGCCTGCAACCCAGGCATCCACCTGCGATGCTTTGGTTCGCAGCCTGCACTCAATCCACTGACCTATGCCAGCCAGGGCCTGCCCCTACCTTTAAATGGTGCCATAGTGTCCACCTTCGGGCAGCTCAGTCTGGAGCCTCTCCCCGCCCCCAGCACACGGCTGGTTCAGCTTTCAGGTCTCCACTGAATTTTAGCTTCCGGAGTCTTGATCCCCAGGTGGTGCTGGGCCCCGCTCTGCGCCTTCTCTGCTCATTCTCTGCCCCGTGGGCTTCCCGTGCTCTGAAGGGTGACCACCCTGCTGTACGTCCTGTACGCCAGAAGTCTGTGGTTCCGATCCCCTGTTGGGGTGCATGTGGGAGGCAATGGATCCATGTCTCTCCCTGCCCGCCCCCCAATCAATAAACATATCCTTCGGTAAAGATCTAAACACAAAAGTTGCTGAAGTAATTGCCCAGTGTCTTGCTTTGTTTGCACAGGTTAATCCCGAAGGCCTGGGCACCGAGGCAGCCAAGCACCCTGCCCATTTCTCTTGCTGCAGCTAAACCCCCTTCCTCCCGTTCGTCCAGGTCTCCCAGAAACGCCCTTTCTCCCTGAACCTTTCCAACTTTTTCTCCACCCTAGTGCCCATCCGACCCTGCCCAGGCTTAACTTCCAGCCCTCTGGCTCTCCTCCCAGGTGCCCTGTCTACACTGAGCCGCCTGAGTGGTCTTCGTGGAGTGGCTGCTTGCCTCACTTCCCGAGACCCCCACCTCGATGTCCAGGCAGCGCGCCCCTGCCTGCGAGAGCCCAGCCTCCCGCTGTGATGGGGGCGGGAAAGGGCGCCCAGGAAGCCTGGGCACCTGTGGGTTCCGTCACACAAAAGCCATCTGGATCATTTCCAGCCCAGATGGTGGAGAAAGTCAGTGGCGCAATGATTATGCTAAAGAAAAATCTCAGGCCAACCTACCCAGACACCCCACCCTTTGTCAATGAATGAATCACTCAGAGGTGGCTGCTCCAGGTGGGGAGGGGGGCAGGCCCAAGGGCGGCTCTTGCCTGTTGTGACACTCAAAAGGCCTGTTGTCAATGTTTTCTCCCAGGAGGGGTCTGTGCCTGGTGTGTGAGCAGTGAGTCTTGTCCTTCATACCCTCCCACCCCTGTAAGCTCTACACTGTAGTCCAGGAATCCTGTAAAAATCAAACTCAAAAGTCCTTCAGTGACTCCCAGTGATTCCCAGAACCCCTCTCCCTGACCCATGAGGTCCTGTGTGGCCTGGCCGTGACTTCCATCCCCTGCCCCTTGCTCTGGTTTCCCCTTGTGTCCTTGGGCTCTCCAAGCGTCCTGCCTGCCACCCAAGCCTTTGCCCGTCCAGTTATCTGTCTCTCCTTGGAACGTCCTCCCCTCCAAGCCCCCGACCCCGCCATAAATGCTCCCTTCCCTGCGCATCTCAGCTCCGGGGTCACTCTCAGGCAGCGTGCGCCTGACCCCAGACTTGCTCAGGCCCCGACTCCATGTCGTCATAGTGCCTGTGCTCGTCCTTCTCTTCCTTTCCAGAATTGCCTGTTGGGATTATTATTGAATATTCATTGTATGCAACCTTCTTGCTAGATCAGGGACTCTGCCTCCTATGCTCAGGAACCGTGTCTCTCGTTGGTCCCTCTACGGCAGAGCTCAGCTTCCCATAAATGTCACGGTTTCTGTCCATTGCTGCCTTCCTGGAGCCCAGGGCCCTGCAGAGGCCTCCCTGCCCATTTCTCTCTGCGGCTAGAACCCCGGTTTCAGCCTGGGAGCCAGCAGCCCACGGGCCGGCCCCTACAGAGCCCCGCCCCCAGGGAGCTCCGTCCCTACGGAGCCCCACCCCTACAGAGCCCCGTCCCTACAGAGCCCCGCTGCCAGCTGCCAGCGTCCTCGCCCGCCTGTGTGGGACCGCATCTCCACAAAGACGTCTTCATTTGAGGAAAACCTTGGGGAGGAATCTTGGAAACAGGGCCAAGGCCACTGTTGCAAAAAAAGATTGTTTTCAATAACAGATTTTTTTGTGCTTTTGAAATTTTATCTATTAAGGGAATTCACAGACGACTTTCCAAGGTCTTAACCGTGAAAAGAACCGAACAAAGTCTGAGACGTTGATACAAAAGGACACAGAGTCCGGTTCCAGAGGTGCAGCTGGTCCCGAATGTGCGGGCGCCTTCAGCACAGCCTCTGTCCGTGCCCGGCCCTGTGTCCCCCACCTCCACCCCCCACCCTGATGAGCCTCCAAAACACTGGTCCTGAAGAGGAGCAGCCCCAGCCTGGCTCCTGCCCGGTCTTCACAATGGAGTGTGTCCCCTGGTGGGTTTGCTAGAGAGGTCGGGAGAGATGGACAACGGGCCTTTGTCTACTGGGCGCTCACCCTTCCTAACCCTCTCTCCCTCCTCGGCACAGTGGCTTCCTCACCTAACACTTCAGCGTTGCGTCTGCTCAGCCCTTGGGCTTATGACCACCCTGCCCCTCATCTCTGCGAACTGCCCTGTCACCCACACGGGTGGGCACCTGGCAGCCAGGAGTGTGCTCAGCGACCCGACCGATTGGAGAGGGGAAGGCGGGTTTACCTGAGCTGAGCTGGGCCGGTCAGAACCTCTCCTGGAGGCTGAGGAAAGAAAGATCCTTCTCATGTGTGTGCCTGAAACTGGTCAAAACCTGAGGGTGGCCGTGTTCTGCCCAGTGGAGTGGAGAGAGTGGCCCTGCAGAGAGAGAGTCTAAGAGAGGTGCTCAGAAAGGGGCAGGGGGACCCATCTCCGCTCAGCTCCGCTCTCCTCCCGCTCCCAGCCCCTTCGTGGGCTCTGGGCCCAGCTGCCTTCCCGCCTGTGGCCCCCATGAGACGCCTGGGATGTGCGGGCAAACCATGGCCCACAGTGATGTCTATGTCCCAGTCCCCAGGACCCCTGAATATAGTCGGCTACGTGGCGAAGGCCTGTTTTGCACTGGCCTCGGCCTATTGATAACCAACGTGTTGGCTGGACCAGCCCGTGTGGGTCTCAGTACATCTACGAGACGCCCTCCGGCAAAAACCACCAGGACACTGTTGACGTAAGGAATGTCCAAACCTGTAGAGGATTTTTATGAGTTTATTTGAGGCAAATCCGAGGACGGTTGCGGGGAAGCAAGATGCCAAATGCCCCGCAGAGTGGTACCTTGCAGCTCCTTTTATGCCCTTGGAATGCAGGAGGGAATGTAAGGGAGATCACAGGAGGGTGGGAGAGAGCCAGGCGGGGACCAGATTGCAGGGTGGTCGAAACGATGCGCTCTCTTCAGAGTGCTTGTACCTCCCAGCAGCGTTACTCCCGGCTTCTCCAAGGGGTGTTAACCCAGCTGCTCGGGAACGGTGGAGAAGGCTGGCTTAAAAAGCTGTCACTAAAGAAGTCATAGGCCCAGGGTGTGACTGCCCACCACGACCTACCTGCCCTGGTGGGAATTTATGATTTACTACCGCACCCCTTTTTTGAGGCCTGGAAGGTACACAGCACCACTGGGACCACAAAGGTGGAGAGAGGACACATGGGCCGGGGTTCTGCTTTTATTGGGGTTGAAGGTGGGGGTCTGGGGTCTGGGGGGCTTCCTCTTTATGGGTGAATGTAAAACATAAAGGCTGAAATTGAAAACAGGAAGAGAAAGAAAAACAAGTTATGGAAATCAACCAAGATATCTGCAACGAAGGGGCTTCTGCGGCCCATGCGTGGGAGCCCTCTGAGAGCGAGGGCCCCTCTCTCCCCCCACACTGGCTGCCCGCCCTTGCCCCTGTCCCGGGACGGGGACTGGGGGTTGTCATCCAACCCTCGACTTCAAGCCCTTTTGCAGTGGGAGCCAAGGCCGCGGCCTCCCAGGGCTCGGGATCGAATCGCTCAGGAAGGAAACGATGAACTGGGCACCGCTCCAAGCTAACTTGTCCCTTCTGCCGCGGGGACGTGGCGAGGAGGTGGCGGCCTGCAAACCGGGCAGTGTCCTCACCACACCCTGGCCGTGCCGGCCCCCCGCCTGTGGCCTCGCAGCCTGCCTCCCCTCGAGGAAAGAACATCTGTTGTTTACAGGCCGCCTGGCAGCGGTGCTTTGCTAGAGCAGCCTGAATGGGGCCAGGTTCTCTCCGCTCTTGCAAAGTCAAGGGAGAGGCCCGGCTGGTTCTGCTCGAGGGAGATGAGAACTCGCAGGTCCTTCTCTAGCAGCCACTTCACTGGGAGGTGTCGGGGAGCTCCGCTCCCAAAGCGCTGCGCACCCCAGGGGAGGAGGTGTTTGTGTGTGCGTCTGACGTGGGGAGCAGGCGGTGCTGAAAGGCAGCCTCCCAAGGCTCAGCCTGGAGCTGGATCCCAGCCTCCCCTCACCCCCACCCCCCACCCTCGGCTGTGCACACGTTGCCCCCTTGTGCGCCAGGGCCACCTCCTTCGGGCCTCTCTGTCCGCTCAGCATGCGGCGTCCTCGTGTGGACACCCCCACCCGCCACACCCAGTGGAGGCTGTGAGGCCGGAGCACCTGGGAAGGCAACATGTCTGTCTCCGCGCGGACACAGCAGAGCACGGCGAAAGGAGGTTGTGTCCGCGCTGGTGCGTGTGCATGTGCGCCCGCAGTGCTTACGTTCTCTGCTGACGGTTTTTCTGACACTCTTCAGGAGGCAGCTGAGAAGGCGAGTGAGTGACAGTTTCTGGGTCCGACAGCTTCTTGGACCAAGTCCAGAAAATGGAGCCTTTAACGATGCACCATCACCACTTCTGTGGCAGCCAGCAGGGCAAGCGGGCTGGAGGTGGGGAGCTCAGATGGGTGAGGGCAGGAGAGGGGGGCAGTGAATGGGGTCCGAGTGTTAGTCCTCCCTGCAGGAGCCAATCGGTCAGCGTTCATTGTGCCCTGGGACGCCCTGCTGATGGGTCCTCTGGAGCTTGCAAAGAGGCCCTTGGCGTCTGGGGCCTTGCAGTGCAGAGAGATTTTAAGAGATCAGTGTCTGGTGGGGACCCAATGCATACTGCAAATACTTTTTAGGGAAGACAGTCTTGGGGGGCAGGCTTGATCACTGGCCATCAACACGTCCAGTCAGTCCTCCCGGTGGGCGACGTGATCCCTGATCCCTGGCATGGGGTGCGCGTTCGGCCATAAGCGAAGCCCCCCATTCCACGGTGCCCCCCACACATGACTATCCTATGACATCTTCCATTCTCTCGTGTTCTTTGTGGTGGCTGTTCACGTGGGCGTCACCTCCAGCTGGCTCCGGGACTCTCCAGGACAGATGTGGATGTGGGTGTCTGTCCGTCGCCGTGCCCGGCGGGCACCCCGTCGCTGTTGTTGAATTTCACACCGTCGTAGAGACTGGATGTGTCAGAGGGCCCCCTGGCGAGGAGGCCCACCGGGGCAGAGACAGGAGCGGCTCTCGCCCGAGCAGGACCGCCGATGGGTTTGGGAGGACTGGAGACTTGTTCAAGGAGGTGCTTTGGCCTCCAGCCGCTGTCTCACCAGGTGTGTAACACCCTCCCAGTCTTCTGGTGGAAATGCCGTCTCGGGACGAGAGCCCAGGGCTGGGGACTGTTGGGAACCCAGTCCCCCAAAGGAATGGCCCAGCCTCGTGTCGGAGGGTCCCAAGGTTGGATCTGCCAGGCGAGGCTGGATCGCGGTGCAACGAGAGACGCCCCCAGTCTCAGTGGCTCAGACAACAAGGGTCTGGGTCGTGCTCATCCTCCCTATGCACTGTGGGCGGGGCCGGGGAGGGCTGGGAGTGGGCGGGCCTGCTCACCGCCGTCTCTTAGGAACCAGGCTGGCGGCGGCGGGGGGGCGCCACTTGTGGGGTGCTCTTCCCAGGCCAGCTGCACCCGGCTCTTGTTGCTTCTGCCTAGAAGCGACTGACCCTCAACACTGAGCTGCCAAGCTGCCCTGTCCAGCTCTGTCCCCTCAGTGCCCTGGCTTGCCCCGTCTCTGTGCCTACAGTCTCCATCGGCCCCACACAGCTTAACAGTGGCAGCTCTGGGGCCCTACCCCTCACGCATGGGGCCAAGGGACTCCCAGTATTACACCTCTCAGCGGAGCAGGAGTTGCCCCACCTCTCCTAGAATCATCCAGAATGTTCCCGGTCCTTCTCCTGGACCTTCCCCCCCTCTCCCGCATCCCCCGGGAGCGGACTGCTCCTGGGAACTGGGAAACAGGAGCACGTTGGTCACACCCACCCTCTGTGGCTCAGTGCCTCAGTTTACCCACACACAAAACATGGGCTGCATCTGTCCCTTCCAACGTTACAGAGAGTCGAAGGATGGCCATAGTAAAGCACTGGCTGGCTCTACGGGAGAAAGGGGCTCTATCTACCGTCACGATTTTGCCCTCTAGTTCTCCACCCCCTACCACCTGGAACCTTCTGGAATGTGCTGCATGGGCCAGACTAGAGAGGGGAGAACCCAGGGACAGGTGGGGGCTGGCAAGTGAATGGTCTCAGGCCTGGGAATGTGGAAACACAGGTCCAAGAGCCTGTCACTCGAAGGCAAGCAGGGGCAAGGTTTTTGAAGGGGCCCTTGGACCAGGCCACCCGGGAGTCCTGGGAGGGCAGCGGGGGGCAGGGCCCCCCTTCAGAAGTGAGGGGGTACCTGTAGAAATGGCCTCCAGATGTGGGCCACCCTGGGCACCAGGCCCAGCTGCCCGAACTGCAGCCGCAGGGGCCTGCAGGCGTTGAGGTCGCTGTAGAGGGCGGGCAGGCCGTCGTGGGGCCGCGGGGAGAAGCGGGCCTGTGGGCTCAGGGCCCCGCAAAGGCCGTGGTAGAGCTGCAACCTGGGGGGCGGAGGTGGGTTTGGGGCCGGGGGGCTGCCGGGCCCGGAAGACACGGACAGGCTCCGGTTCTGGGGGTTGCTCCCCGTGGAGGGGCTGCTGAAGGGGTCGCTGGCGGAGTGGCTGCTGCCGCTGAGGCGGCCGGGTGGGGCGCTGTGTCCGGCTCCGGGCTGCAGGGGTGCGGCCAGCCGAGGAGACTTCAGGCCCAGCACCGGCTTGGAGGAGGCGTAGAGGTGGCGGAACTCCTCGTCAAACAGCTCCACCGCCTGGCCTGTGAACTTGGAGAGGATGTTTCGGTGGACGTGCCCGCAGAGCCAGGTGAAGCTGTGGGAAGGAGGAGAGAGGGGGGGGTGGGGGTGGGGGTGGGGTTGGGGGTGGGGTTGGGGGTGGGGGCCCACCGCTGGGCCTCCGGGACCTTCCTTGGGGCGACTCCAGGCAACAGCCGGACTCATGAGAGGGGGATTCCCATGCCTGCTACCCCGCTGTGCTGCCTCCTTTCATCCTGGAGGGAGCCCTGGAGGGAGACCGTGGAGCCCCTTTCACAAGGGCCCACAGGGGAGTGGTGACGTTGCCGGAGTGGCTCTCTGGCCTCAGGTCAGTGCCCCCTGCGGAGGCCCACAGGCGCTGAGTGCCCGCTGAGTCCTGGTGTCCAGGACTCTGTGCTCATACGAGTCCTCTAGTCACTGGTGGCTGCACCTGTGACCGTGGGAACACCTGCTCCTTCTCAGCACACGGTGACGGGGGGGGCCCCCGCTGGCGAGGTCAGCTGCTCCTCGGAGGGCGGAGGCTGTGGGTCTGTGAGAATCTGGGTGGGGAGGGAGAACCCTACGCTCTTCCGGAGCGGGGACAGAAGACACAGGGCGAGCCCACAGGGACAGGGGTTGAGTGCATTTGCTGGGACGCCCATGAGAGGACACCCTCAAGCAGAGGTCTTGTCCCTCCGCCCACCTGCAGGTTTTCGGTGAAAACAAAACTCCCAAGGCATTTACGTATTACCTTTCACGGTTCCCTGATGTAACCAAATTCCTTTCGATTTCTGATGGGAACCCCCCACCCCCACCACAAAAAGAAAACCCTTGACAGTGTCTGGTGACAGCACAGAAGACACACTGAGAGCATCAGGTTAGAGATTCCTGCATCCCTAGTAATGTGGACCCGGGAATGGGGAGCGATGGGGGCCCATAGTCAGGGGAGGGCAGGCCGTCCTCAGGGACAGCACAAGGGCTGAGCAGAAACAGCTCCCACCAAAGTCTCAGCCTCCATCCCCCAGTCCGCCTCTGCCTCGCCGGCAGGGTCCCGCTCTGGGAGGCAGGGTGGGGCCCCCCCAGGAGGCTGGGGCAATCCTGAGAAGAACAATGAGGCTTTGTTTAAACTGCACTTCCTGCTCGGGAACCACCCACACGGCCCCAGATTGCTGAGCAGCTGATGCAGGGCCCAGGGCCAGCCAGGTGACAGGGAAGGTGGCAAAGACAGGGACAGTGGGACTGCTGGCTATGTTAAGAAATCGGACGCCCCGCGCATGTTTGGAATCAGGCTGGATTCGGCCAACAGCTACATGCTCTGTGGGACAAAACAGGTCCAAAGGTGCCCTGGTGACTTTTCAGGTCCCTGTCCGTGCATCTCGTGCACCCTGTGGCCCCACCCGGAGCCCCTTGTGCACCCCGATCCCCATGTGCCCCTGTGTCCCTGAGCATCCCTGTAGCACCTGAGCACCCCACCCTGTGCACCACGCAGGCACGCCCCCTGGCTTGCTCTGCACGCCCAAACATCCTGTGCGCTGGCTTTTACCCTTCCTTTTATCCCGCACCCATTGTATGAAATGCATTTTATTTTTATTGGGGTTTGACCCTTAATCACATAGAATTGACTTAATCACAATCTTTGGCCAGAGACTCACTCCTATCTTTGGTCTGTTCTGGGCCCATTTTCATGTATGCAGCTATTTACTCCATTATTTTAAATAAAATAATGTAATTAGCACCTATGAACCCACCACCTAAAATAAAAGCTGGTGGGCCGGGCTGGTGTGGCTCCGAGGATTGAGCACAGGCCTATGCACTGAAAGGTCGCTGGTTCAGTTCCCAGGCAGGGCGCATGCCTGGGTAGTGGGCCGGGTCCGCATTTGGGGGCAGGTGCTCACTGTTGTTTCTCCTTCTCCCCCTCTTCCCCTCTCTCTAAAATAAATAAATAAGATCTTTTAAAAAATAAATGAAAGCTAGCATGTTAACAATTACTGCATCTAACCACATCAAAGATCCTGTAAATCCAACATTTGGCCTTTCCTTTTTTGTTGTTTTTTTTTTTTTTCCTCATTGAAAAGGTATAAAATGGCAACTCATTCTAGCCTTGATCTGCATTTTCCTGATCCCACTGATGTGGACCGCGTCATCGTCCTGTGTTTTCACACACGTCCCCCTGGGGAAGGGCCCGCTCAGGTCCCGCGCCCACACTTCTGTTGTGCTGTTGCGGTTCGTAGGAGTTCTCTGTGGCTCTTGACACTCAGCTGTCGGGGCGTCATAACAACCTGTTCCCAGTTTATAATCTGACTTTCTTCTTTCTAGAAGATGTCTTTCCACGGACCAAGGTTCTTCGTTGCAATATGAGCACATTTAGCAATCTTTTACAATCGATGCATTTTTGGTTTCTGTTTAACACATATGGCTAATCCTCACCCTAAATTCTAAAAAAAAACCCAAACATCTGCCCCGCTGGTGTGGCTCAGTGGGTTGAGCACCGGCCTGCAGATCAAAGGCATGCCGGTTCGACTCCTGGTCAGGGCACCTGCTGGCGCCTTGTGAGAGGCAACTGATCGGTGTTTCTCTTGTGCTCTTTCTCCCTCCTTTCCCCCTCTCTAAAAATAAATAAATAAAGTCTTTAAAAATAATTAAAAACTGCCCACATTTTCTACTAAGAGTTTTAAAGTCTGTTTTTGACATTCCAGGCCTTTTCATCTATTGGAGGTGGATGTTTTTGGTACACGTGTGAAACAGAAATCAGATTTTCCACACGGAGCCTTATTATTTTCCAGTTCCTTCCCCCCCTCCCACCCGGCCCTGACGCGCCCTGCCCTGTGCGCCGTGGTCTGTGCCTGGGCTTCTCTCGTCTGTGGCATTTGTCAGTCTGTCTTGCCAGGGAGCTGCAGTAGCTGAGACGAACTGAGACGGCTCCGTGACAAGCCCTGATCTCTGGTGGGGCGAGTCCTGCCTGTTCCTCTTCAGACTTGTCTTGGCTCCCGCTGGAGGAATACTTTGTACACCGTGGCCTAGTCACACACACAAATACATGCATAACCACAGAACGATCCCAGAACCTCCCTTACCTCGCTGTGCTCTGAGTGTTCTTATTCTCTTCTGTTTCGTTAAAAAAAGGAAAAGCTGGGCATCATCCACTAAGTGACTTCATTCCCTACCAGTGGACAGTGATGCACAGTTTGAAAAACTTTGTTCCTCCAGCCGCCCTGGCTGGCCAGGAGCTAACACGGACTTTCCTTCACTGACTCATTCACATGAAATGTGCAGACACTGTGGTAACTGTGCTTCCTGCCAGGGGTGCCGCAGAGCGGGAATCAGACCCAGTCCAGGTTCTGACGGCATGTTGTTTATGATGCTGGCTACACAGGGCCACAGAGAGGTTCTCTAGGGCATGGCCTAGAAGCCGCCACCTGCAAGGTCAGTTGGCAGGATGGAGACAACAGGGATGAGCTCTCCAGCAGAGGGATGAACAGAAAGTGCAAAGGCTCTGGGGCGTGAAAGAGCGTGGAAAGTCTGGGAAGAGGCCAGTGTGTTTGCAGCATGGTGGAGGGGGAAGGAGACTCTCACTGAGACGGAGACCGTGGTCAGAATGTGGATTTTTTCCTATGGTCAGTGACAAGCATGGAAGGATCTTAAGGTTGATTCAATCTGGTTTGTGCTTAAAACTCCTTCTGTTCCGGGTAGAGAAAGCCCAGAGATGGTAGCACGGGTCAGGGCAGGAGTAGACTCAGGGGCCAGTTAGAAGGCTGTGCTGGTAGGTATCATGCTGTTCCTCATGCTGTTCCAGCCACCTCATTCTGCCCCTCTTCCCCATCCCAATCTTTCTCTTGCTCCAGGGCCCACTGCCACCTCCTAGAGCTGGGAGCAGAATGGGGGGCTCCCTCCTGCCTGACCCTAGAGCACCTCCTTAGCTCATCCTGATCTTAGAGCACAGGACACCCACCTCCGTGGCCACTTACCCACGTTTTTTGAGAAGAGAGGAATTCTGTGTCTCCAGCACCTGGCAACAGCGCCTGTGCTGGGGTAAGACCCTCAACAAGAACGTAAATGTTGAAATGCCCCAGGGCCTGGCACAAAGCTTGCCAAGGTTAACTGGGCTTCATTTGCCAGCACCAAGGTCCGGGCCAGCCCTGGAGGTGAGTTCTGGAAGGACGGATGCTAATGAAAACTGGGCTTAAATCCCCTAACAAAAATACGATTTCCCCCTCTTCATTTTCTCTTTTGGAATTTCTTTCTCTGTCTGTTCCAACCATGTGGAAGTCTTGTTAATGGCTCAATAAGCCTCTTGCCAGCCTTGCAACTGGTTGCTAGGGGTTGAGGGGGAGTGACTGCTTACTGGTGAAGGGGTGTGGCCACGCCATCCCAGAATACATATGTCTCTCCGACTTAAGAGATAGCTGCAGCCCAAGGAGTCTGAGAAACAGAGCTGGGAACGGAACTTAAGCCGTCTGACTCGTAGGCTGGGCCGCTGCCATGTCTAGCCCAGGCGCCGCCTATAGGTCCCGCAGAATTTGGCGATGCTCTGACAAGGGAGGGGAGAAGGGATGGAGGCTGGCAGTTGGGGGCCACAGAGAGGGGTGTTTGTCATTTATCTAGGATGCTGTGTCAGCTCAGCAAGTCCTGGCCATTCTGAAGTGAGAGGAAGATGGTCTTGGCGCCCTCCAGTCTTCTTGGGGACAACACGTCCCCTCCCCCAGCCAAGGTGACACCCTCTAGGCCTGCCTGCTTGGTAGCCCCTCAGGACTCACCCTTGTAGATCTGTGCCCTTCCCTCGGGGCCTTGCCAGGGGACTGGCTGGCTAATAGCAATCATTTAGTGAGCACCTACTATGTGCTAGGAGTTATGCCATATGCCTTGCAAACTTTGTCTGCAAGGGAAGGTATTGTTACCCCAGCCCCCCATTTTACAGATGAGGAAAGTGATGCCACAAAAAGGATCGAATTATACACTTTATATGGGTGAATTATCTGGTATGTGAATTATATCTCAATACATTGTTATGTCAAAATAAAACACTTGAAAATAAAATGGGGAACACACACCCCCCAAAACAAATTGCATGGTTTTATAATCACACCTGAGACAGCTAAGGAGGGAACAAGCGGATTCTGTGACTTATGGTAATATCAAGGGAAACTGAGGCACTGGAACTGGGTGCCCCTCTACCCTGAAGCCCTCCTGGCAGAGGCTCATCTCCCCCCTTTTGCCCGGGCCCGTCCTCCCTCCTGGGGGCTGCTGCTGGCCGGTGGGCCCGAGCACCTGGGGCTGGTCCGCACCACACTCGGCCTTGGCCCCCGTGAAGCCTCACACACGGTGGAAACCCGGAGCTCACCTGTATGACCCGGAGAGGACGTATCTCCAGTCCGAGATGATGAACTTCTCCTGGATCTGGCCCGAGAACTTCCTGCCCGACTTGGCACAGTACACCTCCGCCTCCACGCTCCGGACGGAAAGGTTCTGCGGGGAGGGAGGCCAAGGCGTCGCTCGCTGATTGTGTGTTTACGGGTCCACGTTTGCCCTGGACGAAGTCTGGGAGGGTGCTCAGCAACACACACACGGGGGGTATCTCCAGGTAGCGGGAGTATGGGCCATTTTAGTTTTCTCCTTGGCTGACTTTCCTAAATTGCCTTCGCTGTCCTGACGTTACCCAAAGTAATGGAGGGGGAGAAGGAAGCGGGAGATGGTAGAACTTTTAAAAAGCGGAGAATAGACGACCAGGGCCTGGTGCCCGTGGAGCCCTCAGTTCCGGCTCCCCTGGACCACAGGGGTCAGGCAGGCCCAGCCCTGCCCTGCAGGTGACTTTAGTGACCTGAGTCCCTGACCCCAGGCTGGCCAGAGGGAAGGCTCAGAACAGCCAGAGCAAAAAAAAAAAATGGCGTGTCTGTGACCCCAATCATGGGGGGTCTGGGTTGTCCCCTTCCTCCCCCGCAGCGTCTGCTGCCCCAGTCCTCACGGAGCCCTTGGGGGGCCGGAGAAATGACTGGCGGGGGAAGCCTGAGGCTCTCAGAGTCGGGGATGGGGGGGCACTGCTGAGACCATGGGGAGACCTGCGACTGCTGGGTGGGCTCAGGGACAACGGCACCTCCAGCCTCTCCAGGCAGCTAAGTGAGGTCAAAGGGCTGTGGGTGGAAGGGATGAAAATCTCTTCCAGGTCAGGTCTTCTTCCTGCAGTACCCTCCTGCCCCCCTTCTCCCATCACTGTAATCCAGGAGGCCACATGCTCCTGATGATGTAGCTACAAGATGAGGGAGGGCTGCCTGGCCTACACTTCGAGCAAGAAATAAACCTTTACCCCTGGCTGGTGTAGCTCAGTGGATTGAGCACGGGCTGCGAACCAAAGTGTCGCAGGTTCGATTCCCAGTCAGGGCACATGCCTGGGTTGCAGGCCATGGCCCCCAGCAACCGCACATTGATGTTTCTCTCTTTCTCTCCCTCCCTTCCCTCTCTAAAAATAAATAAATAAAATCTTAAGAAAAAAAAAAAGAAACCTTTACTGCGTGAAGCCATCGACGGCGGGGGGCAGGGGTTACCATGGCACAGCCTGTGTTGCTCTCATGCAGGCACCTCTCGGGCTGTCCTCGGGGCCCTACCTTGAGGTGACGGTCCGAGATCTGCACTTTGTCGCACATCTCCTGGAAGAGCCCCACACCTCCCTGGTCCAGGAGCACGCAGACGAACACCCCGCGCTTGTTGGCCGCCTCCAGAATGTCACAGAAGATCTCCACGTCTGTGAACACGTCCATCAGGATGGCCAGCACCTGGGCCGGGAAGAGCGGTCCAACACCGGAAGAGTCAGCCGAACCTCCTTGGTCCCAGTGGGCCTGGGAGAGCCAGTCCCACGGGGGCTGAGCTAGAGGGAAGGGAGGGCGGGGGAGGGCTGGACAGGGCTGGGTTCCAGGGAGGGACGGGGGGCTGCTGGGGAGGAGGCTCCTGCCTCGGTCCTCACCCTCCGGGCCCACCGTGCTCCCCAGCCTCTCCGCCCCTGGCTGGAATGGGGAATGCAGAGCAGAAGGGAGAGGAAAGCGCAAAGAGAGGGGAAGAGAAGAAGGGGAGGTGGCCGGGCCGGTTCAGAGGAGAGGGACAGATTTAACGTCATGGGTTCTCGGCCGTCTGCAGCTCAAGGTGCTCTGTGGCCATTGGTTTTCACATGTATTTAAGCTGTGGAGTCTTTGCCTCAAACATAATCCTTGTAGAGACTCCATATATATATTATTTATTGATTTTAGAGAGAGAGAGAGGAAGGGAGAATGAGAGAGAGAAACACTGATTTGTTGTCCTGCTTAGCTTGTACGTGCCCTGACCAGGGGTCTTACGCACAACCTTGGCATATCAGGACCATGCTGTAACCACTGAGCTACCTGGCCAGACCAAGAGAACCTCCCCTCCAACCTGTGCACAAACTAGACCAGCCAGTGGGGTGAGGGGAGTCCCGCTCCACCAGCAGCAACTGTGTCATCCATCACAACGGAAACTCGAGGAGCAGGGGGCCCTAGATATCCAGCAACGAGGAGGGACGTTTGTGATCCTGCCTACCCAGCATGCACTCCTCTCCCTCTAACAACAGCACCGCACGCTCACTTGAAGAAACCACTTCCTCTCCACCGTATGATTTCACTTATATGTGGAATCTACAGAACAAAATACATAAACAGACGAAGCAGAAACAGACTCATACACACGGAGAACAAATGGATGGTCGCCAGAGGGGAAGGGGAAGGGGGTTGGGGGGCTGGGGGAAAAGGGTGAAGGGATTTAGAAGTAGAAATCAGTAGTTACAGAGTGGTCACAGGGATGCAAGGTACAGCACAGGGAATATAGTCAATAACATGGTAATAACTACATAGAGGGCCAGGTGGGTACTGGAAATATCAGGGCGATGCTTCATAAAGTATATGATCGTCTAACCACAATGCTGTATACCTGGAACCGACACAAAATAATAGTGCATGTAAACTGCAATTGAAAAATAAAATTGTAAAAATCACCGTTTCTCCATAATCGTTGTGGTTTGGGTGGGATTTCTGCCACGCCCTGGGTTGAGCTTGGGGAGGGCACATCCCCGAGGCCAGACCAATGAGAACTCTGCATCCCCCACTGGCCACAGAGATTGGCACAGGGGTGGCCACGCGATCTGAATGAAGTATTCTAATGAGAGCCAGCCTAGGACTTCTGCTGGGACTCTTGGGGAAAAGAGACATTCTTTCTCCTGGGGTTGCTTAGCTAGCAGGCTGCAGACTACAGCGGCTGGCAGCATCTTGCCACCATGTGGGGACAGCCTGCCTGAAAACGAAGCCAGCCCTGGAGAAAGAAAGGCCCAGAAGTGGGGACGGATCGCCGTGGCATCATTCAAACCTCTGACCTCAGTCATGACCGAAGCCAGCCCTACCCTTGACTTTTCCACTGTGGATGTCAATGCATGTTCCTCCTCTTGTGCCTGTTTGGGGTTACTTTCTGTGATACTGTAATTTATAATAAAAACGCATATTTTGTCTTAATCCTGTGGCTGGCATCAAGCTCCGACAGCCCTTGGAATGTCCTGAGTGATGAGGGCAGTGACGGCATCTTTAACAATGCACCAAACTTGAAGGTGGGGCTGGGCACCAGAAGACCCCACTCTGTGATTTGAGGGTTGTGGCTTTTAGCCCCACCTCCGCCCTCCCCCTGCCCCCAGCCCCTGAGATGGACAAGGGGCTGGGAGTTGGATCAATCACCAATGATACAATCAACCGTATGTATGTGATGAACCCTCCAGAAAGGCCCAGAAGGATGGGTTCAGAGAGCTTCCAGGTTGGGGGACATGTGAAGATTTGGGGTGAGTGCCGGGCTGGGGGAGAGGGCTTGGGCTTTTCCCGTACCTGCCCTAAGCGTCCCTTCCATCTGAAATTTCCCGAGTTATGTCCTTTTGTAATACATCGGTTGTCTAGTAACTAAAATGTTTCTATGAGTGTTGTGAGCCGCTCTGGGAATTCAATCAAACCCAAAGAAGAGGGCAGTGGAATCTCCAGCCTGTGGCTGGCTGGTCCGAAGCACAGGTCCCGCTGGGATTGGCGTGAGCTGAATCGGCACCAGGGCGCCCAGCTGGTGTCAGAGAAGGGCTTGGTGGTGTGGGAAACCCCCGCACAGTGGGGCTGGAGCAGAACTAGACTTTTCTTGTCACCCAACGAGGAGTCCCTCCCACTCAGATAAAAGCCACTTTCTCAGGCCCTCTCTCCCAGAGCCAGCAAGAACCCCAAGCATGACTGACCGTAATTGCTCTATGAGCCTCTATCCTCAGGACTAGAAAATTCCTGGAAGTGCCCTGAAGGCACAGAGGCTCCGGGAACACACGCGAAACTGGGCAGACCGGAAACGGGACAGCACACCAGGCCGCCCTGACCAGACACCCAGACCCTGCGCCCGAAGATAACATTGTGACAGGTCTCAGCCCGGCTGAAACATTCCGCTCTGCAGCCACCCCGTTGCCCAATAAAAAACTCACAGCCCCACAGCCCCTCAGGGCTGGTGCGGGGGCTGGTGGGGCAGGTGCATGGTGTCCCCGCCCAGCCCTTTCCCTCCCTTGGAAAGGTAAAAACGAAACCTTTCCCCTCTGCACTTTTCCCTCTTCGTGAATTCCTTCCCAGCCCCTGCATCACCGACCACCCCAACACTTCCTAATACTTAAACTGTGGTGTACTGATGAGTCCATTATTATGACAATTATCATGCTGATTGAGGAACTGTAAGACCGGACAAAATGTTAAAATAAAACTTGCTGCGCAACACATGCTCCACGAACACGTATTAACAATGAGTGAATTAGATAAACACGCACGCACAGCACAAAACAGCGGACATCCTCCAGGTTGCCCGTGAGGGAGGGCAGTGTGCAGAGAGATAAGCACAAAGCTCCATGCGGCAGTCACGACTGACTGGTGGACCACAGTGATCGTTTTCCTTCAACAGCACCAGTAACAGCCACGTTCCTCCCTTCACAGCGACAGGCGAGGAGGTGGCTGGCACCCACTCGGAGCCTCCCTTCGGCTCCGTTGGTGTGCGGTGTCTGGACGGGGCGGGGGCCTGCCGAGAAGCCACTCACCCGGGGTTGGAAGTCCACGAAGGTGTTCTCACAGCCAGCTGCATGACCCCGGGGGACGCACGACCCTGGGGGACCGTGCCCTGCTGCGGCAGGACTAAGCGCCTGTACACGTTTATGACACCAGTGACCCCTCAGTCCTCTCCACTGACAGACAAGTGCCTCCTCTGCCAAGCTCTCGACAAGAGAGACAATTCTCTCCCCCCTAGGATGTCTGTCAGTAGAGCCTCCCAGCTGCGTAGGGAGTCACCTTGTTTCCCTGAGAGTGTCTGCTCAGGTGGCCTTCCTCTGTCCCTGCCTGGCCCTAGACCCTCCTCCCTCTGCCCTCTGCCCACCTCTCTCGGACCAGCTGGCACTGACCTAGTAATGGGTGTGTGTTGGGGGGAGGGGGACACAGCCCATCCAGGGCAGGGGCTCAGCCCAAAAAGGCAGTCCTTGACCCGTGGGGGTGGGGAACTTCCTCCTCCTGGCTCTTCTCCTCCACCCACCCAGCCTCCCAGAGGGCTCATTCGAATTTCTTTCTACAGCGAATCTGTATTTCTTGCCCAGAGAAAGGGAGAGGGAGAGGGAGAGAGGGTTGGGTGAGCAGAGGAAGCTTGCCTGCCGAAGTTCTCCAACTCTCTGCTCTCGGGACCCCTTCACGCTCTTAAAAAGTTACTGAGGATTCCAAAGAGCTTTGGTTCATGTGCATTAAAGCTGTGGTTATTTGTCGTACTAGAAACTAAAACAGAGGATGTTTAAAAATGTTTACTTTATGGTTATTGATAAATAACTAAGATTAGTTACTTAAAACAACAGTAAGCCCATTACGTGTTCAACCTAAATAACCACTTTGATGAAAAAGAACTGTATCTTCCAGAACCACAGCAGAACGCAGCGAGCCGAGTGGCACCGTCTCGCGGCGGCGTGAATCTCTGTGGCGTCTGGCTTCCCAGACAGCTTGCGCTGCCCGTCTGCGTCTGCGGCGATCTGCCGTCGTTGTACGTGGTCTGGGTGGAAGTGCACAAAGGCGTTGTAGACTGGCCTCGCACAGACAGGAGGTTAAAAAGGGCCTGCGTGAAAGCAACTCAGGATCCGTGGCCACACCTGGAGAGTGCACTCATCCAAGCTTTTGGTTTTCACATTTTATGATGCCTGACCTCCCAGAGCCAGCAGATTTCTAGACACAGCCAGCACCTTGCCTAGGAGCACGTCTCTGAGACGCAAACCAAGCCATGCAGAGCCAGTACTCCGACTGCCCCCCTTATTGAGCTCTCACCCGGCATGTACCCCTGCCCTTAATCACCCGGGGCCAGGTCCTGGATGGCTCGGGGCCACCCAGAGCCCAGAGCGTGCCCATATGATTCTGTCCAGCCAGTCTTACACTGTTCACTGCGCTCTGCTTTGTGGTTCCTGCAAAACCCAGACAAAGGCTTTTCTGCCCATCCGTTCCCCTTGTTTGTCCTGTCTGCTGACCACCCTGGTGCGTCCCGTGTGGCCCTGCGTGGCTCGCCGTGCCTCCTGCTTCTAGGGACAGCATGTGCACACCTCCGCCTCCCCATCTGCGTGGCTGGCTGCACCCGGCCGAAGCAGACGTCAGGCACACTTCAGAGCCAAGAACTGCCGCTCACTCTTTAGCCCCAGGCAGAAGGCCCAGCCGCGTCTAGCCCCGCCAGCCTCTGATCGGTGTCCCCACCCTCATCACTCCTTGAGGTCCCAAGTCAACGAGCTCTGTCCAACCAGATGGATGCCAGTGTGTTCCCACCTCCTAGACCCTCGAGTGAGTCCCCTCACACCCAACCTTGCTGTTTGAGGCTCCCTAGGCCTGGAATTCCTCTCCCTTCCCTCTCTGCCTGGCAAACGCTTACTCAGCCCTCGGGACTCGGCTCAGAGGCCACCTGTTCGTGAGACCTGCCTTAGTCACCTCCGGTCCACTTCCAGGCACGGAGGGTTGCTCAAGCTCCAGGGTGCCACCCACGAGTGTATTCCTCCGCTCTGCTCCCTTCCCCCTTTGCCCTCCTCCCCGCTCCTCCCCTCCCTCCCAGGGCAGGTGGCAGGGAGCTGCCGGGAGGGAAGGGGGCTTCAGGCTCTGCTCTGCCTTGCCGGCCTGGCTGGCGGATTCCAGGTGCCGTGACTGGAACGTGGTCAGGAGTTCCTGGTGCCCTGGGTCACGGGCCGTAAGTGGCTGCCTGCTGCCAGTGGTAGCTGCTTCTACCCCAGGCGCACAAAACGACCCTCGAGCACGGGCTAGAAGCCCGCTCCGCCCTCCCAGAGCAGCGGACAGGCGAGAACGGACTCCCGGGGAAGAGATGTCGTCTGTACAGATGCCCCATGCCTGTCTTTGTCTCTCATCACTTGGATTTAAAAATTTGGTCACATTGAAAAGAACTCAAAAAATCAGATACTTAAGCCTTTTTTTTTCGGGGGTCCCAAGTTTAACACTGTGTGAATCAGCAGGCTCCAGAAACCCCCCCCCCCCAGGGGTGGGAAGGTTAAGTGTAAAGAGTGGGGGGGGTGGAGTTACAGAAAATTTAAACAAGAGGTAACATGGGTGCATTGTGGACTTTTCACGTCGCTGGGCTGCTTCAGAGCAGCATCTCGTGTTTTCGGGGCGGGCGGCAATAGTAATGGACAGGTGGTCCGAGGCAGGCAGCCAGGAATGCCGGCCCTCCCTGCGTGGGGCTGGGGCTGGCCCCACGACCCGACCCAGGGCAAGTCCCTCAGCCTCCCCAGGCCTCAGAGTCCACCCGGGACTAAGGTCCCTTCCAGCTCCAGGGCCTGTTTCCAGGTGTGCTGGCTCTGGTCTCTCTGCGTGAGCAGGAAGTTCAGGGATCTCCCCCGGGCCGGGGCCGGGACCCCTGGTGCTGGGGAAATTCCTAGCCGAAGCTGCTGCTCACAGGGTGAGTGACCCTCCCTGGAAAGAAGCCAGTCTGTGAAACATCATCCTCTTGCTGAGTCCCTCTCCTTCCCCTGTGCCCCCCCTCCCCAGCCCCCGCCCCCTCGCCTCTGCGCCCGAGGCTGCTGATGTCCTTTCTTTCACCGACACAACATGTTATGAATTTGAGACCAGGCTTACACACTAGATCTCACCTAGACATAAGGAGGGCCAGCTCCTCCTAGCAGGCAGGCCGGAGACCTGGCTCTGTCGGGGCTGAGCTGTGGCCACCTCTTTGGGTGGGTCTCCTTGGGCCACAGACCCCGCCACTCCCTCTGGCCCGAGGGCCCCAGGAACTTCACCCAGTTTGTTGCCTGTCAGGCCTTTGCAGGCAGAGATCGTCTCACACACACACACACACACACACACACACACACACACACACACACACACACACGGGCTTAAGAACACGCTGCTCCCACAGAGATGCCAGGGGGGCCAGATTCCCAGCTCCAGGCTGTCCCTGACAGTGGGCTGTGACCCCTGCTGAGACCTTCAGTGGCTCCCAGTCGCCCGCAGTGGGAAGAGCAAACCCCTTAGCAAGGCTCCCAACCTCTCCCGTTCCTCTCCCACCTCCCGCCACTCAGTGCCGAGTGACATGCAGACCCTCAGACCCACCGTGCTCTGTGGTCGGGCCCTCGAGGGCCCTGCTCCTTCTGCCTGGGCCCCCTCACCCTCCCTGGTTTTTGCCTGTCGGATGCCTGCTCCCTCTCAGGACCCAGAGCCCTCTTTTCAGGAAGAAAAGATTCCCAGGCCAGGATTCCCAGGCCAGGCCTGGTGCCTCGCCTCCCTGCTTCCAAACGAAGGGGCCTCACCACTGGGGCACACACTTGTCCCCTGTCCTCTCTGACTTTGCTCAGCCCTGTCGGTGCACAAGTGGCTGTGGAGTGCCTGCACGCACGGGTGGCCGGGCAGAAAAGGGACTAAGTTAGACGTGAAGTACAGAAGAGGTGAGCCAGCAGCATAGAGCCCGGGTGGCCGTGGGTGGAGATGGAAGATGAGGGCCAGGCAGGAAGCCATTGTGGGGGTCTCGGTGAGCGGGGGAGGGGTGGCAGCCGGGGCCCAGGCTACGACAGACAGATTCAGGAAGTCAGTGACCCCTGGTAAGGCAGGAAGTGGCATCCCTGACTCCATCACTTAGAATGGGACACACCCCCCTCTCTCTTCTCCACCAGCCCCCATTCCTCCCCGCCCGTGGCCAAGGGGACCCAGGCTGGGCCACCGCTACCTGGCTGGTCCGAGCGATGCAGCGGCGGATGAGGTCTCGGATGTTGTTGTGCTTGTCCATCTGGAAGTACACGGTGGCGCTGGCCGTTTCCTTCAGGTAGGGCTTCTCGGCCGAGGCCCAGGTGTGCAGCAGAGCAGGCTCGCTGCCCTCCGAGGCTGCAGGGTAGTAGGTGCCCGACTGCAGCGAGCAGGAGTCCAGTCCCTTGGTTCCTGCCTCGGCGCCTCCTGGGGTCTCCGGAGTGCAGGGGGGCCCCTGGGCTTGGGCCTGAATGTACTGGGCCTCCACGGAGGACAGGAAGTCCACCTCGCCTTCCTTGCGGAGGACCTCCCAGTAGGCCTCGGGGCCCCCGTCCAAGAGGGCGTCTGTGGCCAGCCGGGCGCTCTCGTTGTCGCTGAAGTCCGTCTTGGCCGGCCGGACCCACTGGCTCTTGACATCTTCCAGGCGTTTGCGGATCTTGCCCATGTGCCTGGCCCGGCTCATGCCGCCCTGCCCCTGAGGCGTGGTGGGGAGGCTGGCACCCCAGCTGTTCTTGGTATCAGGGGCAAGCAGGCCACACCACTGAGGAGGAGCAGAGCCCCTGGCCTCCTGGAAGGCACTCAGACCTCAGGACTGGTGTGCACCTGGCGTCCAGGGCTCCCTTCCACCCTCACACCCGCTCCAAGGGAGTGATTTCCCACTGTCTGTCCTGCCCAGTGCTTCACGGAGATCGCCAGCTGCAAGCAGGGGTTGGCACACCCCTGAGAGACACCTGCCCTGCCCGCGGGCCAGGGGGCTGGCTCAGCCACACCTTGGCACACTCAGCCTGGGAGACTCCCCGCTCCCAGCAGCAGTGGGAGGCCTCGGCGAGCCGTGTTTCCGCTTGCTTGTTGCACAACTGTCCTGGAGACCCTCGGTCTGCATTACAAACCCGGGGTCCTCCCCCAGCACCACCCTCCCTGTGCCGGGTCCCCTCATGTGCTCCTCAGTACAAACACCGACTGCCTCAAAGACCAAGATGTCCCTGTGGGGGCCAGGCTGCCCCCGGGATCTGCCTTCCAACCTGTGTGAGCAGGGAAGCTGGATGCAGGCCAGGTGCTGCACCTTTCTCTTGGTAACACCCAAGTTCCCGGTCCTCCCTGTCCTCTGAAAAAGCTCTTCTTTCCCATCTCTTTCCTGTATGTGATTTCCGTGGTCGTGTTTGAACAGAGCCCCAAGAGCCCCAAGGCCCCAGGTCTGGGGCCAGCGCTGAGAGGACCCTGCCGCTGAGTCTGGGCCATCGGACCCACGGGATCCGGCTGTCTTGCCGCCGGAGGGGCAGGTGGCAGCGAGTACGTCTGAAGTATGGGAACTCCCAAGGGAGAAGCCACATTTTCTTTCCAGATGAGGTCATGGTCAATTCCACAGCAATGGAATGCGATATCTACAGTCCTGACTGTCTTTGATTGGGTTCTGCCGGAAACAGACTCTGAGACTGGGATTCAAGTGCAGTCATCCCCCTGTACCTATAGGGGATTTGTTCCAGGACCCCCACAGATACCAAAATCCTCAGATGCTCAAGCCCCTTATGTGAAATGGGGTAGCATTTGCATATAACATCGGCACAATGTCCCTCCTTTACACTCTAAATCCCTAGGTTATTTCTAGTACCCACAACAATGCAAATGTTATGTAAATAGTTGCTATCCTGTATTATTCAGGGAATAAAGACAAGAAAAAAGTCTGTCCATGTTCAGTACAGAAGCACCCATTGTAGGCCTAACTTACATAGTCAGAAACAATGTCACATTTTTCTATCTTTTTTTGAAACCGCTTCATCAGTGGTTGGTTGAATTTGCAGATGGGTGAACCACAGATAAGGACCCACGGATGAGGGACCTGCAGATACGAAGGTTGCCAATCGGGAGGAGATGATCCCAAGAAGCACAGACAGGGGAGGGGACAGTGGGGCAGGAAGGGGCGGGAGCTATTCTTGGGCGTGTTGACGAGCAGGTCACCCCTGTGGGGCTATGAACCCCTGTGGGAGGACTTGGGGTGCAGTCCTGCCAGGGCCTCTGGGAGATGGTGTAGAGCACATCTCAGATTATTATTACCCGAAGGTAGAGAAAGCCACAGACTTTATCTACCAGCCTCCATTTGCTGACGGTCTAGGGCTGTTCCCGGAGCCCCATGGGTTCCCCACTCTGCCGGCCTGCCCTGTGGGCTCGCCGCGCACAGCCACGAAGCTGGAGGAAGCCTGCAGGTGGAGGCACAGGTGTGAACAGGGGGAGAAGGTGGGAGTGACGAGTGCCAACAGGAGAACAGCAGGGCACGGCCAACATCTGCTAAGACAGCTGTGCTGCAAACCGAGGGCTGTGCAGCCTTCAAACAGCCGGTATAGGAGGAGCGAGGGCTCTCTGTGGCATATCTGCTGTTTGGAGGAAAATTGCTAAAAGCATTGGTGGCCTCCCCAAAGCCATGGCCCAAGTGGCTCAGTCCAGTAGCAGAGTAGTATTTTCAAAAGCACAGTCCAAATAAAAGGAATTTTAAGAGAATTTCTTCTCCTCTTGTAAAGGACATTGGAGGAATTCAGCTCATGACCTTGGATAAACCTTTCCTTTATTCTATTTTATCTCTTCATCACAATACCTGGAACCTTCAAGAGGACAGACGTAATAAGCTCTCTCTTCCTATTGTCCCCTCAATGCCATGCCAAGACTCTAGTCGAGTCCTTTAGACTAGACAGCATGCATCGAGTGTGTGTGCTGTCTCTACTAACCCCCCATTCCTGCGCTCCTGGCAGACATTATTAATTGATCACAGGGCTCTTTTTTTGTATATATATAAATTTTCTTTTCTTTTTAAGATTTTATTTTTAGAGAGGGAAGGGAGGGAGAAAGACAGAGAGAGAAACATCAATGTGCAGTTGCTGGGGGTCATGGCCTGCACCCCAGGCATATGCCCTGACTGGGAATCGAACCTGCGATGCTTTGGTTCTCAGCCCGAGCTCAATCCACTGGGCTACGCCAGCCAGGGCTGATCACAGGGCTCTTTACTGGGAGCTGGGAACCACCCTCTTATCTGCAAGGAATCTTGGACATATTTCAAGTGCCCCAGCCTACTAATGGGTGAACTGCAGCCCAGTGAGGGGAAGTGACTGTCCTCAAAGTCACATGGCTGGCCAGAGAGTCTCCCCAGTGTGGTCCCTCTTCTCCCCTGTAGCCCCAGCCCTGTGAAGTGTCACCATTCCTGCTGGGTCCGCTGACTGACATAACAAATTCCCCCACCCAGGACTGTGTGTCTGCACCAGGAAGGCCGGCCAGCTGCTGCCACACCTTCGGAGGACCTGTTACCTCCAGGAACTGAGCATTGTGAAGGATTTGTCTTCTCTGTCTTGTGTTGTGGCCTAACGTGGAGTCTTTTCTGCTCTTGAGTGCATCTGATAAAGAGGAAAAGGAGAAGACAGGCTCCTAGGAGCAAATGAGTGGGGCTGGGGTTTCCTTTATTAGGGCAGTTGATTCCTCCCATCCAGGGGGCACGGAGACATTTTGGTTGTCACACTCAGGGTCATGCTACCATCACCAAGTGGGTGTGAGCCAGGGATGCTGCTACTTCACACAACGCAGGGGACAGCTGACAAGAACCACCTGGTCCCAGATCCGAGAGTGCCGAGACCGAAGAATGCTGGCCTAGGGGGCTACTGACCCTCACCCACGGGGGAGGTCCAGTCAGTCCCCTGCCTTCGTTCAGCCCCTCCGCTCAGCAAGGAATCGTTGCCTCCACCTCCTCAACTCACTCGAACATTTCTCAAGACTTCAAGGTCTCTCGTGATTCCCACCTGCATTCCCTGACAATTCCTCCTCTGCGCCTGCCAGGTGCTGGGGGCTCTGTCTCATCTCCCCCACGGCATTTCATCCCTAGAATGTACAGTGGCAACAAAGCCTCCATGCCGTCAGAACCAGCACAGCTGCGTTCAGATTGTGCCTGCGATACTATGTGACCTTGGGGAGGTAACTTCCCTGGGCTTCATCTTTCTGTGCACATAGCAACAGCTGACCTTTATGGGACATGTCCAGTGTACCCGGTGTTCTTCTCAGCGCCTTGCACATGTTAACTCACTCAATGCTCACAGCAGCCCCATGAGTCTGTGCTACTACCAATTCTCATGGACGAAGGAAACTGCAGCACAGAGGTCGGGTACCTAACTTGCCCAAGGTCACCTGGCCAGCAAGTGGCAGTGTTGGGACCTACACACGGGTGGTCTGGTCCTGGAGTCCACCTGCTAACCACTGGACCTTCTGCCTCTTTCACGGGATGAACCCCAAAGGGCGTGAGATCTAAGGGAGAAGGCCCGGGCAATACGTGACCCAGCCTTGCCCTATATCTGCTCCGCGTTTTAGCCTAAGGCAGCCCCAGTGTTTCTTTCTGAGCTTTTCACAATGGCCGATGCAGTTGAAAGTTTACAGCGTAGGAGCCTGTCAGACACCACCCTAGTTAAGCGGTCAGAGGCGTCCTCATCCACAACGGGACACACCGAAAGCTCGAGCCACTTGATAGGAAGTGACAAAAGGAGAGCACAGCGTCGCTCCTGCGATGTCCCTGCTTAAGATGCATGACCTGAATTTGGACTGTATCATAATGGCTGGTTTAAGTGAGAATCCCCTTCTGTAGACTGTGGGCAGTTTGGGATGGGAGAAGGGGGTCACCCAAGTCATGGCTTAGCTTTTTGGACCTCTCCACCCAGTGCCTATCCCAGGTTGGGGCTGGCAGGGAGTCGGCACTCAATCAAGGCTTGTTAGGTGAGTGGATGGCTGAGAGCTCCTGGGGCAGAGGCCAGTTTGTGCAGCAGAGCTTGTCTGGGGGCAGCCAAGGGCTGGGGGCCCAGGACCCTGGAGGGACAGGGTGCCTGGAGGGACAGGGTGCGGCCTCTCAGAGCAGCTGCCACCCTCTCCCTCCCCCATCCAAGCCTGCAGCGGCATGAAAATTGTACAGTCTCATTACCCAGTGACCTGAGACATGCAATTACGTTGAAAATTAGTTGGCATAATTAACTAGATGGATGAATAGCTCGCTGTCAACACCGATCAATCCATTCTGCCTGTAATCAGCCCAGTGCAGGCAGGCAAGGAGCCCCGACAGCTGCTGCTTCTGCTGGCAATTGAGGACATAGGGTGGGAGAGGAAACGGGTGCCCAGCCAGGCACCCTAAACCCCGCCCACCCACCCATCCACAGGTCCTTCTACAATTGTTTAGCAAGGGAGACCCCCAGGGCTGTCTGTAGTGGGCTCATCCTCGGTACCCAGGAAAACCACAGCGTAATTCCCAGGGGCCCAGAGGGGCAAAGTCCCTTTGTTCTCCCCTCTGCCCTGCTTCCGAGTTCCGGTCCATCACTCGAGACTTCTGGCCTGCAGAACCACCACGGGGGCTCCATTTTGGGGCTGGCAAATTTGCAGGAGCTTTTAAAAATTAAGATGTAACTTAGACGCAGCAAAATGTATCCGTGTGGTTGTACGGCTCTGTGAGTTTTCAGAGACAAACACAGTCACGTAACCATCGCCACGATGGGGGACACAGACTATTTCCAGCATCGCTACAGTTCCCGAGGCCTTGCTGGTGTCACACGCTTCCTCCATTCCCCAGCCCCTGGCAACCCCTCATCTGTTATCTTCCCTAAACGCTGGCCCATTCCTGAGTGTCCTGTAAGGGAATCATATAGTGAGGGCC